GGAAAGATGGTCATCAATAGCTGAACAATATTTCTTATTCTTTTCTCTATTACTACTCTTCAAAACTGCTATGTTCATCTTTGTTCCTAATCAACTGGGAATATACTCAACTATTTTATATTTAAATAGGCTTCATGTGGATATTTAAATAGACTAATACTGTAAATGTATTTTATACTTGACTTACCAAAATTCATGCAGTATAGATATGTTTGTATCCAGATATGAAATGACCTATATCCTGATTTAAGGTTTTGTCTTCATAGCGTAGGATTGAGTGGGTCCAGAATATCATGAGGTTAGCCAACGTCCCTGCATTTTTGCCAGGAATATGTGAAAAACAAGGTCAAACAGATAGCATTATGGGAGACTAAATTCATACGGAGGCAGCTTTGCAATCATAAGCTCACCGTGTGCTCTAAAGCTTTGCCAGGATAGCAGCAAAACTGGCTAACTCAGGTATGTATGGCCTAAGGGCGCGAGAAAAGACATGCTCACACTGTCAGCCCTCACTGATATTCAGAGTGTAGCTGATGCAGCACAGCATCCCCTGTGGCTGCAGTACAGTATTGATCCAAACAGCTGTTAAGGGGGGGCGGGCGGTAGTCACCTTCTGCAGGGGCTTCACTGCGTCCAGTCACCAGACTGACTCTGTAAAAATCTCTAATGTTTTACCTTTTTACTCTACTCATAGTTAGAATACAAAATGGATAATGAATGTCTTCTCGACAAAGTGGTGTTGTCCTTATGGTGAAATAACCAGGCTGTTAAAAGTGAACAAAAAAATGACATTCGTCTTGTTTTCTAACATTAGATTAAAGCTGACATTTATGTAAGACAACAAATGTGCCTGTCATGTATATGCGAGTGACTAAACTTGTTTGCATATTAGGAATGAGGTCAGATGCAGATTGGTCCTGTGTGTGCGACGCATGTACAGTATCTCTTTTACTTTATTGAATTAGAAACCTGTAACACAGCATATATGTTTTCTCACAGCCTGAGGGGTCATGTATGCTTCTTCTCTTGTTTTAGAATCGGAAGGAAGCTACACTGGTTCTCATCAAGCTTTTTAATGAGACACACACACACACCCTAACCCCCGTGTGTGTGTGTGTGTGTGTGTGTGTGTGTGTGTGTGTGTGTGTGTGTGTGTGTGTGTGTGTGTGTGTGTGTGTGTGTGTGTGTGTGTGTGTGTGTTGTGTGTGTGTGTGTGTGTGTGTGTGTGTGTGTGTGTGTGTGTGTGTGTGTGTGTGTGTGTGTGTGTGTGTGTGTGTGTGTGTGTGTGTGTGTGTGTGTGTGTGTGTGTGTGTGTGTGTGTGTGTGTGTGTGTGTGTGTGTGTGTGTGTGTGTGTGTGTGTGTGTGTGTGTGTGTTCCCCCATGAGGGCCATGACGTGATATCAACACTTCACTGTTCTTGCGCAATTTGTTTTGATCTCATTTCTATTCCCCCTGAGGAGTCACTAAACCTGACCGCTCTTCTTGCTCTGTTTTCCCTCTGTCCTCAGACTCGCAGCGGTCCCATCTGTCCTCCTTCACCATGAAACTGATGGACAAGTTCCACTCTCCCAAGATCAAGAGGACTCCATCCAAGAAGGGCAAGCAGCTGCAGCCCGAGCCGGCAGCCAAGAGCACCGAGAAACCTTCCAACAAGGTGTGTGTGCCGGGAAATCCATCTCTTTCCCACCTTTCTCCGTGTGCTTGTGAGACGATTGTTTTCCAGTTTAGTGTTTTCTGCTCCCATTGTTGTTTGTGTGTGCGTGAGTTTCCCCGCTGGTTCCCACAGCTTCTGGCCGCGGTGTCTAAACTAGAGCAGGTGTAAACCTATAAAGGCATGAATGGAACGGGCCGCTTCCTGAATGAACTGCTCCGCTGGCTCTTAAGGCTCTCTGTGTAATGAGTATATTCCCCAGCAGCCCATGCTGTGAGAGAGAAGCTGCTGTAGCCCCAGGATGGCTCAGGGCCACAGCACTTGATAGATGGATCCTCTAACTGCAGGCAAACTGTGGTACTACTAGAACCACAGGAGAGAGCTCCGGCTGCTGTGAGGGTCTTGATATGAAAAAGTACAGATGTACTGATCAATCAGCAATCCCTTTGCTTGAGCTGTAATCGGCAGATCAATCTCAGATATAACCGTTTTTGTGCCGGTCAAATGCGTGTCTGGCCGCTTTCAAAAGTGAGGAATAAATTCAAATATATTTGTATTGTACTTCATTCCTGTGCATGTTGCTCCGAGTTAAGGCAGTGACTGACTCTCTTGTTCTCTGGGAGTTGGAGTTGATCAAATATAACACACATAGAACTTGTAACAATGTAGTGATACATACATAGTTTTAGAAAGATAATGAATGGATGACTCCTTAATAGAAAAACCTTTTGTTTTCTTTTTAAACGTAAGATAGCATATTCCATTAAAGTGTGTATGCTGTTCATTATAGTCCCAAATAATCGAATACCTGAATTTTCAGATCAGATGTTAAAAAATCTGAAAAAAAGAGATAAGGGTGTTCCTAATGTTCCTCTGAATACTCGGTTCATTTAGTTTAGCATAAAGTTGTTTTTGTATTACCTGCGATTCTGAGGTACTTTTCTGTGTTGTTAGAAGGTGAGTCGGCTGGAGGAGCATGAGAAGGATGTGGTCAGTGCTCTGCGCTACTTCAAGACCATCGTGGATAAGATGGTGGTGGAGAAGAAGGTTCTGGAGATGCTGCCCGGCTCTGCCAGCAAGGTGCTGGAGGCCATCCTGCCTCTGGTGCAGGTGGAGGCCCGGATCCAGCACAGGTGGGTCCGAAGTGAAATATAAATGCTACATTCAGTCACAATCCTGTTCATCACCACGTAGGTCTACATTTACGAGGAAAGAAGAATACGTTGCTGTTTTTAAAAGGAGCCAAAAATAGCACGATTATAAAGAAGACTATTTTAACAAATACAAAATAAAGACAATATGTACACAAAATATAAATATACAATAAACTGAGTACAGTTCATTCAATTGAAATATGACAAACACTATAATTAAGTGGAAGCTGAGCTGTTTATTTAAAAACCTTCATTCCCACTTGCCCTTATGATTCATAGCACAAGATAGATATTTTTAAATGTATCTTTAGGTCCTTATTTTATGTATTTTGGACATACTTCAACCTTTACACATTTATTTACCAAACGGGAAGTTTAAAAACAATCATTCCAACTAGGTATAGCTTCCCGATTGCTGTCCTATTCCCGGATGTATGTAGATTTAATAACTCATCGTGTACCATTTGTGGTTCCATTCTCATCATTCTTGCCTCCTGACGTAGCTGGTATGCAAGCAGGACATGTGAAAACAAGTGTGAGGAAGACTACAGTGTGTTGAGTAGCTGGTGAAGATTGATAATATGTTTTGACAGACAACATCCTGGACTTTGATGCTGAAGCATTTCATTTATGTTAGTCAGTTTGTATGTGGTATGTTTATCAGAAATGTTACCTCCGAGGTAGAAAGACTTCACCTTGCAGATATACACACAGATATTTACTCTGTGTGTAAAGCAAATCCTTTCTTTGTTAGTAACCTTAGCTGCTGACATTTGTTCGTGACTGTCGAGACATGTTGGGACTCTCTGTCTTCGTCTCCCATCCGTCAGTACAGATGAAAGTATGGAGGTCAGAGGACAGATTCTGTGTCTCACAGCCCTGTGTTTAGCAACATTGATGGATTGCTGCTGCAGCCCTGAGGAGAAACTTGCATTTGGGATTTGACCTCAGTCTAACGCAGTCAAACCTCGATAAATCACCGTAGAAGTTCATGTTTTTTTGGCAAACACGCTACTGTACACCATGTTACCACTGTGTGACCAAGAGGAATGTTACGCTCACGTGTGAATAAGTTCGTTTTTCCATCGGCTAAACATGCACAGTGCACCTCAGTGTTCCAGCGGCTGCTGTGATTTGAATCAATATTTGAAAACAAGTAGGTCAGCAGTGGGTGTAACTCCTATCCGCTGTCCTGGCACACAGTGGTGAGTTGATTAAAGTGCTTATTTGCCAAAAGATTAGTGTATCCCACTCATGTCTGCAAACCGTGGTCCCACTGACTGGGGCTCATAGCTGCAGACTTTATCATGCCACTATTGCTATTTGCACGGCCAAGTACTAAACTTAATTTCTCATACTCGATTTATTTCCATTTAATGCAAATGTATACTCTTACTCCTCAACAGTTATCGGACAGCTTTAGTTACTTTTCAGATTACAGTGTTGCTGTCCATTAAAAAACAAACGTCTCCATGTTTGCTCAATGATTGTTTGTGATTAATTGAAGGGTGAAGTTTCCCTTTATGTATGGGAATTGTCATATTTCTTAAATGAAATATAAAATGTAAACGGGACTCTGGATCAGCTGAAAAATAAATATCTTTAAACTGAAGACAGGGCTGTCTTTCTGAGACAGGTTGACTTTTTTAGACATATTCGGTCCTCACAGGACAGAGGCAAAGCTACAACCATATGATGATCTTATAGAATATGATACTGATTACACATGGCACACTTCTTCTTGGGTCAATCCTCTCCACCCCTCCAACTGCTCCACTCTCCTTAAAATCCCCCCCGTTCACCCCCCATAGCTGAGTCGTCTCCCGCTCGTTGTAGAGACAGTGGAGAGATGTTGAAGCTCTGAATCAGCCTCAGCGTGTTGCTGCAGGCCTGAGCCACACCTTGGTCTGAAAGCACCTCTCACTGCAGGCAGGAACAACACCCACTTCCCCGGGTGATTCAACATTCTTCTGTCCACACCACTGAACTTATCCCAACCCCCCAGCCAGCTAGCCTGTAGGCATACCTGAAGTTCCCCCCAAATGTCCCTTATATATGCAGTTGAATGGCTGCTTGATGGATGGAAGTGTATCATACGTGTGATTTGTGTCACCTCCTCTCTAACATGTGCTTGTCTCGTAGATTTTTTTCCACACCTCCCTGTTGTCCTTTTTCTTTTATTTACGAGGAATTTGCTTTAGGGGAAATAAAAACAAAGACACAGAAAGAAGAATCTTTTTTTTTTTTAAAGGAGCAAAAAATAGTACTATTATAAAAAGACTATTTTAACAAATTAAAACAAAGACAATATTTACTCAAAGTATAAATACACAAGAAACTGAGCATAGTACAATGAAATTAAATATGACAAACACTATATTCAAAGTTGAGAGCTGTGTATTTAAAATCCTTTATTCATACTTGCCCTTATGATTCATAGCACATTCATATTTAGGTTTTTTCTAATGTATTTTGCACATCCCATTTATTTACCAAAAATGACATTTGAAAACAGTCATTCCAACAATATATAGCTTCCTGATTGCTGACCTGTTCCCGGTTTAGATGTAATAACTCACCTTGTACCATTTCATTTATATACAATATACAATCTGTGGCCATGTTTCTTACTCTCACCTAGCCTACTCTAACCCCCTTTCCATAGTTCGGCGCTGTCTTCCTGCCATAATCGCGTCTATCAGAGTCTGGCCAACCTCATCCGTTGGGCGGACCAGGTGATGCTGGACGGCATCGACCTGGAGGACAAAGAGAACGTGGCGTCGGTCACCAGCGTCATCAAAGCCGTGCTGGATGGAGTGAAGGTAAGCCCTCTGCTGATGGAGGACATGATGTGGACCACCTGTTTAATGCATTAACATTGTGCACATCAAACCCCTGAGTGGAAACCGCTTCATTTGAAAACTTATCCGGAAATGTTGCAAAAAACGCATTAGAACTTGGCAGAAATTGAAAAGTTGGTGTATTGATACACCAGTGGACGAGAGGGTCGCCTCCCTACGCCTGCGGGTTATGGGGGGGAAAACTCTGACTGTTGTGTGTGCTTATGCACCCAACAGCAGTTCAGAGTATACGGCCTTCTTGGAGACCCTGGAAAGAGTCCTGTATGGGGCTCCTGAAGGGGACTCTTTAATCTTGCTGGGAGACTTCAACGCACATGTGGGCAATGATGGAGACACTTGGAGGGGCGTGATTGGGAGGAACGGCCCCCCTGATCTGAACCGGAGTGGTGGTTTATTACTGGACTTCTGTGCTAGTCATGGATTGGCCATAACAAACACCATGTTCGAACATAAGGATGCTCATAAGTGTACGTGGTACCAGAGCACCCTAGGCAGAAGGTCCATGATCGATTTCGTTATCGTATCATCGGACCTGAGGCCGTATGTTTTGGACACTCGGGTAAAGAGAGGGGCGGAGTTGTCAACTGATCACCATCTGGGTGGTGAGTTGGGTCGAGTGGCGGGGGAAGCCTCTGGATAGACCTGGTAAGCCCAAACGTGTAGTTCGGGTGAACTGGGAACGTCTGGAGGAGGCCCAAGTTCAGGAGGCCTTCAACTCACACCTCCGGAGGAGCTTTTCGGGCATTCCTGTGGAGGTTGGGGACATTGAACCAGAGTGGTCGGTGTTCAAAACCTCTATTGCCTAAGCCGCGGCGGGGAGCTGTGGGTCTCAAGGTCCTAGGTGCCTCAAGGGGCGGTAACCCCTCGAACCTCCTGGTGGACACCGGTGGTCAGGGAAGCCGTCCGACTGAAGAAGGAGGCCTTCAGGGATTTGTTATCCCGGGGGACTTCCAGAGGCAGTGGACAAGGTACCGACAGGCCCGAAGGGCAGCAGCCTCATCCGTGGCCGAGGCAAAGCAGCGGGTGTGGGAGAAGTTCGGAGAAGACATGGAGAAGGACTTTCGGGCGGCACCAAAGTTGTTCTGGAAAACTGTCCGACACCTCAGGAGGGGGAAAGCAGGGAACCATCCAAGCTGTGTACAGTAAGGATGGGACGTTGTGACCTCAACTGATGGAGTGTTAGGGGCGTTGGAAGGAACACTTTGAGGAACTCCTGAACCCGACAACTCCGCCCTCTATGTTAGAGGCAGAGCTGGAGTATGACGGGGGATCAACACCAATCTCCCGGGGGGAGGTCACTGAGGTCGTCAAACAACTCCACAGTGGCAAAGCCCCGGGGGTGGATGAGATCCGCCCGGAAATGCTGAAGGCTCTGGGTGTTGAGGGACTGTATGGTTGACACGTCTCATCAACATTGCGTGGAAGTCGGAAACAGTACCGAAGGAGTGGAAGACCGGGGTGGTGGTTCCCCTTTTTAAAAAGGGGGATCAGAGGGTGTGTGCCAATTACAGAGGCATCACACTACTCAGCCTCCCCGGGAAAGTTTACTCTAAGGTACTCGAAAGGAGGGTCAGGCCGATTGTCGAACCTCAGATTGAGGAGGAACAATGCGGATTCCGTCCTGGTCGTGGAACGACGGATCAGCTTTTTACTCTCGCAAGGATCCTGGAGGGGGCCTGGGAGTACGCTTATCCGGTCTACATGTGTTTTGTAGACTTGGAGAAGGCGTATGACCGAGTTCCCAGGGAGTTACTGTGGGAGGTGCTGCGGGAGTATGGGGTGAGGGGGTCTCTACTCAGGGCCATCCAATCTCTGTACTCCCAAGGCGAGAGCTGTGTCCGGGTCCTCGGCAGTAAGTCGGACCCATTTCCGGTGAGGGTTGGCCTCCGCCAGGGCTGCGCTTTGTCACCAATCCTGTTTGTAATATACATGGATCGGATTTCGAGGCGTAGTCATGGGGGAGGGGGTCTGCAGTTCGGTGGACTAAGGATTGCACCACTGCTTTTTGCAGATGATGTGGTTCTGATGGCTTCATCGGTCTGCAACCTTCAGCACTCACTGGATCGGTTCGCAACCGAGTGTGAAGCGGCTGGGATGAGGATCAGCACCTCCAAATCTTAGGCCATGGTTCTCAGCAGGAAACCGATGGACTGTCCACTCCAAGTAGGGAATGAGTCCTTACCCCAAGTGAAGGAGTTCAAGTATCTCGGGGTCTTGTTCTCGAGTGAGGGAACAATGGAGCGTGAGATGGGCCGGAGAATCGGAGCCGCGGGAGCGGTACTGCAGTCGCTTTACCGCACCGTTGTGACGAAAAGGGAGCTGAGCCAGAAGGCAAAGCTCTCGGTCTTCCGGGCCATTTTCGTTCCTACCCTCACCTATGGTCATGAAGGATGGGTCATGACCGAAAGAACGAGATCGCGGATACAAGCGGCCGAGATGGGTTTTCTCCGCAGGGTGGCTGGTGTCTCCCTTAGGGATAAGGTGAGAATTTCGGTCATCAGGGAGGGACTCGGAGTTGAGCCGCTCCTCCTTCGCGTCGAAAGGAGCCAGTTGAGGTGGTTCGGGCACCTAGTTAGGATGCCACCTGGGCGCCTCCCTAGGGAGGTGTTCCAGGCACGTCCAGCTGGGAAGAGACCAAGGGGTAGACCTAGGACCAGGTGGAGGGATTATATCTCTTCGCTGGCCTGGGAGCGCCTTGGGATCCCCCAGTCAGAGCTGGTTGATGTCGCCAGGGAAAATAAAGTTTGGGGCTCTCTGCTGGAACTGCTACCCCCGCGACCCGACCACGGATAAGCGGGAGAAGATGGATGGATGGATGGTGTATTGATACAAGAAGCGGGGCTACGAAAGTGCAATGGAAACAGATTTAGCAAATACATAATGACGTACATTAACCTTGTGACTTCAACCCATACTGCTCTTCTTCTTTCTGAAGAAACTGAGAAATAGCCCTACACAGATATGATGTAAACTTCCTCACATTCATACATGAAACTAACACAAATGCCATCATTCAATCCAGTTTTCTACATTGTTTTTTTTGCCTGGCTCTATTATAATTATTTAATTTATTCCAACAATTGGATCTCCCTTCTTCAAACAAGCATTCGTACGCATTATTTACCGCACTGATTGTGTTGAAATGTGTTTAAAATTAGCAAAACATTGAAATAAAAATCTGGCTACTGTTGTAAAAACCCTCCTGTGATGTTTTTGCATTAGCAGCAACTGATACTGGCTTTTTCTTCAAACAGGAATTGGTGAAGCTGACCATAGAGAAACAGGAGCAGCCGTCGCCCACCACCCCTAACAAACCAGCCCCACCCGCTCCCCTAGCAGAGAGGTGAGTACCCAGCATGCCCTGCAGAATAAAAACACAGATTGCGGTCGAATTGTCAACAAATCAGCTCCTATTGTCTTTTCCTAAACACTATTCCTTGACCTCTGTGTGAACAGGGTTGAGGAATAGTGGCTAGGAGAATTCAATAGGACTTAGGAAAAGACGACCAGGCTTCAAGAGAATCCGACTGCACTGACACTATCAGACGTGTTTATGATGCTCCAGCGGATATTATTAATATGCGTCTGCTGTGACGCTACAGTTCTCTGTACAGAGGACTACTACAGCGCACATAGATACTTTGTACCGAGCGTTCTTATGGTGTTGTTCTATGTGGGCTTTATGAACGTAGACAGCAGTGAATCATATATTCTTTATTACCAAGGTTGAAATACAAAGTAGAACTCAACCACACACTTGCAGTATTCTCCTGACTCAGAATGCTTTCTGTGTGCAGCAGCGTGTCGTCGGAGCTGCCCTCCATAGGTCTGGAGCAGGAGGTCCCCCCTCAGACGGCTCCGGCTGCCCCCCCTGCAGAGGAGGCTTCTGAAATACCAGAGGAGGAGGTGGCCCCTCCCAAACCCCCCCTGCCTGAGGCCAAAATGGCAGAGCTCAGGTGAGGACGACACACACTTTAATATTACAATCTGACCCATCGATTAATTTCCGTAAAACTGTGGTACAACAAATCTCACTAAAGCTTCCTCTTTAGTCAAACAGTGCTGAGGAAGTAGGACCTCGTGTAGCATTAGTGATGTCTTAAAGGTTCACATTTTTGCCAAGACTGAGTATGAATATTTTTCTCAGTTCAAGGTATAAGGTTTACGTTTTTCAACAAGCATCCTGGACACAATTCATGTAATCCACAGCATTATCCCAACAATCTTAGAAATGTGGTTAAAACTGGAACAGAGATTATACAAAAACAAGCTGGAATCACTTTCCCTTACTTTTGATAAGAACCAACAATATTATCACGGAAAGGACACATTGTATCATTCATAACACTTACTTTTTAGTTGGAAACAGTCTTAAAATAAAAACTCACAAGTCATACATTTAGGTATTTTTGCATAATTAAAGGATTCATTATTAACATCATTTTCTGAGTCTGTTATTTCTTACGTGATCCTTCCAGTATTTTTCAAATCAGGCTTTATTTCTCACATCTGTACCATAATGTCAAGCTAGCCGTTTTTCAAGTCAGTCATATGAGAATATTCACTTTGATCCTGATAATGGCATGACGTGTCCACAGAAATGTTGTGACCCTTTGCACTAAAGCAGAAGTGTCTATTCTGGAGATGTTCATCACTTTGAATAGAGGAATGGAACTTGTTTTTAGAATTCTCTGACAGGTTTCTACAAATAGCAAAAGGGGAACAATGTTTTTAGGTTGTGGGTAGAGGGAGTTCCATAAATGTCTTTCATTTTCCAAAAAATATTTTCTGTGTATTGCCATGACTTTCAGACTCCTGAAAATCTTTCATAATTCCCACACTTGACACTTTAAAAATAGCACACTTTTTGTGGTTTGCTCTGTCCTTTCCTTTCTTACTCTTTCTGCCATCTCTCTCAATTTGTTCCCTCTTTGGTTTCCCTTTGGATTCTGGGAACAGAGCACAGTTGAGTGCTGGCGCGGGCCAAAGGAGATCCTCTCAGAAGGAGAAGTATGTTAGCCCTCAGGACCACCTGTCTCCACCATAACATCCCACCCTAGACCCGCATTAAGCTTCTGGATTGGATGTTTTTGACTTGCATGGTTGCATCATCCCAAACGTTGTGTTATCCCGGACTTTCCCTGAAGAACTCAGCATCCAATCAGAATTGCGGGCGGTGCATGAGAGTGTGTGACTGACCCGATGTGTTTCTGCTGGCCTCCATATCATGGTGCCTTGTGTTCCCCGTATTAACTCACTGATTTCACGTTTGGAAAGCAGGACGGCTCCATGTCATATCTGAGAGAGGCTAACATGAAACACCCTCACTCTCATCTCACTGCTCCACTGGTGGGATGACAATGTGTGTGTTCATGTATTCATACATGGATCTGTGTGTGCATACATGCCTGACAGAGCGTGTTTTGCGTGCTTGCCTGATTGTCTGTATTGAGTTTGCCTCTTGGACATATGTGTTGTTTTATTCTGCTGTTTCTCTTCTGTTATTAGCCCTCCCCCAGCTCTCCCCCCTAAGAAGCGGCAGTCGGCCCCCTCACCCACGCGGGTTGCAGTCGTGGCCCCGATGAGTCGCGGCTCCAGTTTACCCTGCAGCGTCCACAGACAGGTGAGGGATCAGGGTCCTTTATAGCAGCTGTCCCAAACCTTTTTTGCACCACAGACCGGCTTCATGTAGACAATATTTTCACCAACCGGCCTTCAAGGTGTGAAGTTAAATAAGAGGAAGTAAAATGATAGAGAGGCGTGTGGTGCAGTGGGGTTGTGCGTTGGGATCAGGGGCGCACAGGTTCAAACCCCACTGCAGTCAGTCTGTCGTTGTGTCCCTGAGACACTTCACCCCAAAGTGCTCCTGTGGGATTGCCCACAGTATTGAGTATGTAAGTCTCTTTGGATAAAAGCGTCTAACAAGTGACATGACATGTAATGATACGACCGGCATATCAACAAATACAAGGTGCATGAGAAATACAACTCAGTGTTTCCCCTATATACAAATATATATAAATCTTCCCGGGCGGGCATACCCCCGGACCCCCCTAGAGGATGTGACGTCCACCCCCCAATTAAAACATGTTCATACAATACTGAATACATTTGAAGCCATTTTGACGTATATGACCTATGCCAATACGTTTCTGTTTCTGTAGTGTATTTGCATTTTGTAGAGATTTTTCATTTATTCTTTATATATAAAATCTCACCTAGGGCAGCAAATTGGCTCGAACCGGCCCTGGTACTAGGCCTCAAGAGCCTTTCTTGTGCTGGCAGACACATGGAAACAAATTGGCGGGGCGCACTTCACACACAAAATTCCACGCGCTCCGCGCTCACATTATGATGGGCCCACGTGCCTTAGCACCGCTGCTATGACTCCATCCTAGGGGAAACACTGACTCACCATTACACAGAATTAGTGGAATAACTAATCTTGTGTCTCTGCAATAAGCCGCTCCAATATAAGGGGAGACAATGACACCTGAAGTAGTTTCCTTATGTCCAGTCTCCTCCGTCATTTAGTTTTCTCGGGATATTCTGCATTGATTTTACAATATATAACATATTTCAGACTGATAATCAATACAATATGTTTATATCCACGGACCAGTGGTGGGGGAACACTGGGTAATAGGGTACCTCCAGTACCTGTATAAAATAAAGCGCTAAATGTTTTTTTGATAAAATAAAACGCTAAATGTTTGTGTGTGTGCAGCAGCAGGACTATGAGCAGGAGTTCCTGCAGAGGCGGTTCTCCGGGGGGAGCCAGTCGTACGGGGGGGACTCTCCACGCCTCTCGCCCTGCAGCAGCATGGGGAAGCTCAGCAAGTCGGACGAGCAGCTCTCCTCCATGGAGCAGGACAGTGGTCAGTGTTCTCGTAACACCAGCTGTGAGACGCTTGGTAAGGCTACGGAGACAAAGCCAGTCAGGGTTCCATGACAAATCTGAATCTAGCATCAAACACGATGATCTGATCCCAATCAATTCAACTCAACTAGGTGCATCTATCACCGCTGTGAACCTTTATGAATGACTACACTAAATATTGGATATTAGATCTGTAATTTGCTTTGTTGGTTAAGAAACAATATGTATAGCCTAATTACGGTTCACAAAATCTGTCATGGTGGCATGTGACCTGAAATGAGCAGCTGCGAGCCGAATAAAGGGGAGATGTTTGCTGCGGTTTTATTTTAGATCAGCTGCCACCATGGTTGATAGTTTTTCTTTATATTAAGAAATATTATTATTAAAAGCAGTTTCTAGGTTATAAGTAGGCAGGGATTAAGCTTTGCTTTATTCCATATATCCTTTTGGTACCACTGACTTGGTGTTTATAACTCTCAAGAGTTGTAAATAGATTTTAAAGTTTAAAAAAGTACTAATGTTCATGCTTACATTTACACTTTGTTTTAATAAAACTCCTAACACATTACTATTTAGTTGATACTTAGATATATTGCTATGATTCCTCCTGAGTCGTCACTCACAGCGGCATCACAAGTGATTTTTATGATATATTCTCAAACTAAACACACACTTTTTAACACCAGTTTACAAAGAGAAAATTGACCAGACTATAAACTTAACAGAAACTCAGTGACAACGCGTCATTTTGAACGCAGTATTCCCTGCTGGTTATGTTTACTTCATATTTTCTACCCTGTTCCCTAGGAGATTCTTCATAAACTGAGTTTATCAAATCAGGGTATTCTGCCAACAGGGAACCAGATCCAAAACTCTAAGAACCCAACCCTTGACAAACCTTTGTTAATGTGCCGTTATTATTTCCCCCCCTCACCTGTTCGGTGAGGGTTAAATCTGAATAAACGATGATTAAATGGCGCCTCTTCTCCCCTGCACAGACAACACAGAGAGTTACGACCCGGACTACGACTTCCTGCACCAGGACCTGTCGGCGGGGGAGAACCTGCCCCCCATCCCAGTGGGGGGGTGCCTGAGCCCCCTGCCCGAGTCTCACAGCGAGTCCTCCTCCCCCGTCCCCGGACAGCACCCCTCACACCCCCGCTTCAGTGCCCCCCCTCCCCAGCAGCAGCCAGAATACTGGACCCCCCAGACCCACCACCCCAACCCCCTGCTGTTGTCCCGCCTCAGTGCTCCCCCCGCCCTACCCCAGAAGAAGCGCCGCAGCACCCCGTCGCCCTTCCCCGACGGGGGGTCCAGGGTGCTGTATGAGCGGTACCCCTCCCAATATGATAACCTATCAGAAGAGGAGCTGCACCCCACGCCACCGTTCCCCCTCTTCACCCCCATCTCCCCCATGCCACAGACAAACGGGGGGGTGTTTGTCTCCCAGTACATCACCGGCGAGAACGCAGATGTTGCCTCTAGCCCCCCCCCACTACCAGAGAAAAAGAGCAGACACAGTAAGTGAGGGGGGGTAGTTCATACTTTTAAGAGTAAACTCAAGACCCAATCTTTTAATTTGGCTTTTAACTGAATTGTATTTTATCCTCATCTTATTTCCTTTTCTTTTATTTATACATTTTTTGTGTTATTATTTGACAGTCCTGCGTTGGTATTAAGTGTTCTTTTGAATCACAAAGCTATGTGTACTCTGGTTATTACCTGAGAAGGGGGAGATAGTATTATTTGTAATGTTTGTAATTGTCTGTTTGGTTTGTGAAGCACTTTGAGTTTGCTATGTGTATGAAAAGTGCTATATAAATAAAGTTTGATTTAGATTAGGCATGTAGGGAAGAATAAAGGAAGGGATGAGGTGGACGTAGGAAGCCACGGTGGGATGCATTGATAGTAAATTAATTGAAGCGTAGCTCATGTCAAAGAAATATTCCAGTGAGAATAAAAGCAGGAAGTGAAAACCAGGAAGTGCTACAATGGGCTTGGCTGCAGGGGCACAGAGGGCAACATGTGGTCATTTCCTGTCACACCCGATACATCACTTCCTCTCAGGCTACTGTATTATGTCATTATATACAGTCAGCCCTTCCTGAAATACTTCTGTATGACTACATTAGGGTGGGCAATATGCTTCATTTAACCACTGAGTTCCCCAAACTCTCTTAGCTGTTAGAAGTTGAATATACACTATAAACTTCTGAATTCAAGTTTCTCTCTCCCTCCAAACTAAGAATAGCTTAATTTCCTTGTTTACTAGTCATAAAAACACTTTTTACAAATCCATAGATAGTTTATTCTCTTTTCAGAGGCAGACCATAACATTTGTAAAGGATGACCAAAAAAACGACCAAAAAAATAATAAATATTATTTTAATGAGATCTTTTGTCCAAAGTGGTCATGTAAAATAGATAGGTGTTAATTGGAGTGGCATTATGGGAAATGTAGGATTTTGTGTTTTCGTAGCTTGACCCATATAGGGACAAAAGGTTGAGATAGCCTTTGTCACTGCGATTTTTTTTAACGTATTTTCTTTTACATATGTAACTTGTAAGGCAAGGCAAGTTTATTTATATAGCACCTTTCAACACAAGGCAATTCAAAGTGCTTTACAAAAAACGAAAGACATTAAGAAAATGGCATTTAAAATCAGTCATTAAAAAGAAAAGATAATAAAATAAACATTAAAATAAAAAATACATGGATTAAAGTTACAGTGCAGTTTAAGATGTGAATAGTTCAATTAATCAATTTGTAAGTCAAATAATTAGAAGGTACATACTGTATTTAACTTGAATACCAAAATGTAATATATACATATATTTAGAAAGCAAAATGCTCTGATGAAAGAAGTCAATTAATTACTTTGTTGATTGAAATAAATGATAAATGTTGACCAATCTTTGCCCCCCCAGTCCTCCAGTACATGCAGTTTGTGGAGGACTACTCGGAGCCGCAGCCCTCCATGTTCTACCAGATGCCGCAGAGCGAGAGCATCTACGAGCAGCGCAACAAGCGCTTCCAGGAGGTGTACTGCTTCAACGACTCCTTCAGCAGCACCGACTCGGTGCACGAGCCCGTGCTGCCCCCCGCTCTGCCGCCCAAACAGAGGCAGCTGGTAAGAAACGATCCATGGTGCAAGAACCAGATACTTCCATTTTGTGCCATTTCTTAAAAACTGTATTCAATTACGTTACAATTATCATCCAAAAGGACTTGCAATAAGAGCGTGAGGATATTCATTCACAACAGCAAGACTCCTTCAAGTTCATTAGCTTGAAATGATCTAAACAGTTTTTAAGAGCTGCTGCTTAAGATTCAGAATCAGGTTTATTACCAAGTAGGTTTACACATACGAGGTTTTTGCTTTTGAGTAAATGGTGCATACAATAGCGTCAAATAAGCTCAAATAAACTAACAGTTACCTTGAATGAGAATTTCGCAAGTGAGTTGAAATAAATGAATAGATACAAATAGTTTACTTTCAGTGTTGCTGCAAATGAAGTTTTGTTCAATATTTCAGTTCATCTTTATCAAAATGATAGACCAAAACTTGATTAATTTAAATGATTTGTTAGAATAATGTGTCAGAGTGTTCGTGCACCAGGTGAACACCCTCTGCAGTGACAGCTCTGTGCTTCCTGCTGTATTCTGGCTCAGAGAGAGGGGCAGAATGCAGATTGCTTTCTGAGGCTGAAGTACATTCCCGTGGTAATCCGCATCAATTTTCTCTCGAGCCTCCTGCTATCTTGTTATCTCTCTCACCTTTTCAGCCTCCCCCTCTCGGCACTCTCTCTGACTTCCCCCTGTTCTGTAACCAAAGCAGACATGTGTATGTACTCGGAGGTGTGTGGTAGTTAGCGGGAGATAACGGCGGCCTTTATCAGCTTCGTCAGATCCAGTCCACATATCTTAATGTGGGTCAGTGTCTGGGTTAATTGAGAGAACTGTCTCAGAGGGGGAGGGAGGGGGGGACACCATGTTCATATGAGTTGAGTGACAATTAAACATTTATGGTACAAAATAAATATTGTTTTTACAGCTAAGTGATGCCATGAGTTCACAATTTTGACCAAGCATAGATACATTTAGCTTATTGTTATTTCTTATTAGGTGTTTGTGTCATCATTTTGTCTCAGTGCTCTTCTAGTATACAGCTGGTAAAAGTGTACCAATCACAGATTAACACTGAGGTTAGCTGAGTTTTAGGGGATTAAAATATCGATAGATTACGCTAATAGATGTTGTGTAACTTACTTATGTAGTCCCCCATACTCAATGTAATGGATCAATCTAAATCGTTTTTAAAAATCCAAAGAATCTTCTGTTGTATTTGAAGGTGCATGATATAAAGAAAGCCAAGAAAATAAAAAGCAGAAATCATGAAACAAATTGGGAATAGAATACGATAACAATATAAATTAACAAAAATACTATAAAAATGATATTTTCAAAACATCTTAATTAACACAAGAGCTTTGCAGTTTTCAGAAGTGGTGGTTTTTTGCAAGTAATGGGAAAAGGTTTGCAGTATAAATAGTAAATACTTAATAATAAAAACGTACTAAATGAAATGTAATAAAACCTTTATTAAAATACAGGTATATTTAAACCTCATTGCTCATGTAACTTTTGTTTTTCTATGGGTCATGCTAATGTTGCACTCCCCTTCTTCACTGTAATCAATGTACCAGGGCGAGCTGTGTGAGCCTCCTGCAACTTCCTTCAAAACAAGATTTGTAGTAGACGCCTTTAATAGCTACGTTGGCAACCATCCATAAAACCACTATGGTCACATATGTTAGGTTGAAATATACCAGACATGACCTTTACTGAGCCCCGCCGTAGAGCCACGTACATTAGCTTCTAAAACGTAAAAGCATTTCAAGAGCTGGTGCAACAGCATCAAATAAGCTATAGTAAACTAATAGAGTTACTTTAATAAAGTGATGTTTGCAAGTGGGTTGAATTTAATAACTGGATTCACATCATTTTGACTGCGATAGCAACGCTGTAATTAAAATGTCCTTAAATGTAGACCAAATCTTAGATTCATTTCTTATAAACTGTATTAAATGACGTTAGATCTATAATCCGAGAAGACTTACAAGGAGAGTGAGGATATTCATTCAGAACCGCTAGAATCCTGCAAGGACATTAGCTTTACATAAGCAAAAGCTTTTTTAAGAGTTGCGGCATCAGAATCAGGTTTATTACCTAGTATACACATACCAGGAGTTTGCTTTGGTGTAAATGGTGCATACAGGGACAGAACACAACAACACTAAGCATTGCATGTTGGGTAGATGACCTGTAGTGTGTCACATGAGACATCACACAGAAACACCCTTCCCTATTCTCTCACTAATGCCTGCCGTACACATGTGAGGGTGACAAATGGATGTGTGGTGTCCTGAAGCTGCAGTGGTGCTGTGGACAGTGAACAGATGAGCTCCTCTCCAGGGTGGAGCTGCGTGTCCAGTAGAAAAGAGACTCAGCAGGCCACCTCAGAGTCTTTCTCTGTGCTTTGTCCTCTCTCTGCCACCACAACTGTGTGCTTGCTCCTCTGTGCCCCGCTTTTATTTTTGATCATTCTTGTGTGCGAGCGTACTGCCGCAGCAGGGCCTAATCTGGCCTGATGTTTTGGACTTGATGAGCTCGTGGCCCAGTGGAATAAGCCGGTTTGCCTCCTCCATAAACCCATGTTCCAGGCTTACACGCTTTGGCGACTTTACATGGCTTTGCTTAAAAAAAAAAGAAGTCATTTCAGCTGCTGTGTGGATAAGGAGCTGGGTGGAGAGGGATCATATTGGCCCTGCTCAGAGCCTGTTGGCCTGGTTTCTGGAAAGCCTTTAAAGCTCGGGATATTTCAAGAATTGGACATCATTGTGTGAAATCTGTACATGTTATATGTCCTTCTAGTAAGTAAGGCCCTTTAGAAAGAACTTGAACATAGTAGGCCGGCACCATTTGGAAAAAAATCACTTGCAATCATTTGTTCCAATATTAGAATTGCGATATGATTTGTGTTATTAGAGAGAATGGGCATGTTTGATTCTTTGGATTCCATTTGTAGGTCGGGACAATTTTAGATGAATTGTGCAGCCCTAGTTGCACTTCATCAGCAGTGTGTGAGTCCTCGTCAGCTTTCACCACTTTACTGCTGAACTTTGATTAAACCTGCTCTAATTCACTCTTGCTTCCTAGAGTAATCAACTGTCCTCTTCTCTTTCTTTCTTTAACACCCTCTCTCTCCTCTTAACCCCCTATTTCTCTGACTTACTGTCTTTTCTACCTTTTCTTCTTTCTTCCTCTTTCTTTCGCTTCTCAGGCCTCCCACTCTTCCTCCCCCTCTTCCTCCTCCTCCTCTTCTCTCTCCTGCCACCTCCAGCCGTCTGTGGCGGCGATGGAGGAGGCGGGCTCTGGGCTGGGCCTCAGCATGTCCGTTTCTAACTCCTACCTGATTGGCCAAGCTTCTTTGAACACACCCACGGTGAGTCCCCCCCCCATCCCTCCACCTTCATTTCTCCACTCGGTGTGGGTGCTGTGTGGTTCTGGTGGTCCGGGGGAGGTTGACCTGTGTGTTCTCCATGTGTGATGCAGTCTGTTAATCTCCCCTTTGGGTTTCTGCTCGGGGGGGCAGGGTCCCTCAGGGCTTGGTTGCTGTGTGGTCCTTTGTTCCGCTCATCCGTGTGTGTGTGTGTGTGTGTGTGTGTGTGTGTGTGTGTGTGTGTGTGTGTGTGTGTGTGTGTGTGTGTGTGTGTGTGTGTGTGTGTGTGTGTGTGTGTGTGTGGTGTGTGTGTGTGTGTGTGTGTGTGTGTGTGTGTGTGTGTGTGTGTGTGTGTGTGTGTGTGTGTGTGTGTGTGTGTGTGTGTGTGTGTGTGTGTGTGTGTGTGTGTGTGTGTGTGTGTGTGTGTGTGTGTGTGTGTGTGTGTGTGTGTAGTGATGTATACATGGTGTGTGTGTATAACCATAGTCCATTATTCGATTGGTCAAATGACAGAAAATAATCTGCAATGATTTTATTAGTAAAGGCGATTTTTTTCAGTTTCTCTGTTTTACGTCTTGTTAAACCAAAAATGTTTGTTATTTTGGAGTTACAAAATAACAAAAACATCTTTTAAAGACATCACCTTGGATTTTGAGCTATTATGATGTACATTTTCCCTATTTCTGAAATGTTACAGAACAAACAATGAATCAGAAGGCTTTATTAATCCCAAGGAAACATTGGGTTTCGTGACAGTTGCTCAATTTTAGAATGAAAAAAAGAAGTATGTGCAATAAAAAGATCCAATAGAATAAAGATGTTTATATAAGCATAATAAGTTAAATGTAGAATAGAAGTTAAAATACATTTAATAGATTTTAAAAATAGTCATCAGTTACAGCCCTAACTTTTTGAACTCGGCATTAGATGTGATTTTCTTTATGTGACAGGTACATTATGTGACCATTTGCCAGTCAGACAGGAGCTGTGTGTCTGGAGCAAACGGTCCAGATATCACAGGTGACTGTCAGGCCTTTGGTCGAGGATTATAACCACAGAGCGGCCATTTGTTGTTCTCACAGGAACGTTTCAACCAACAACAGGTCCTTGTTAATGAGTTAATAAACACTGGTTAGTAAATGTTATATTAAGCGCCCAACCAATCAGTGAGAAGCCTCATCTCGAATGTCAACATTTACATTTGAAATAAATGTTCAAATTGAATTGTTTTCATTTAGTTTCTAACCTGGTATTTCTGCACAGGTAGTAGATGAAAAGTAGACTACATTAATAGCATTAGTACTGTGCTATTTTTAGAAACAGATTCCAGTGGTTACAGGATTGTTTCAGATCTCTGTGATCCAAATATTTCCAATAATTGAGAAACTAGAGAAATTTGAAACGTGATTTTATCTAGCAAAATATGCATTTCACTGCAGTCAAAAGAACAATTTGATGTCCTGCTTGTATCCACTGACAACTTAAAGATAGTTTATTTAAAAAAGGGACTTTAAATGAAATACGATGTATCACATTATCAAAATCTAGGATTTCCTTTGGGGATTTCTATTTCTTTAGGTTGGCGTTGTCAGCATTCCAGTCTTCATTATTTCCACCTTAGCCTCTACAAAAAGACATTTGGTCCAGCTTTAGCTATATCCTAGTGACTTATGGCCTGACCCAGCAATGTGTTACAGTGGTTAGTTTTCAGGGGGGTGACCCCGCTGTGTGCGAAGCACCCAAAGGTTCGGTGTGTGTTTCCCTCAGGATCTGTGCAGAGGAATGCAGCTCCAGATGGACCTGATGGAAAACACATTCCTCTCGTTTCTGCTCCTCTTCCTCCCTGTCCTCCTCGTCTTTTTTCTCCTGATCAACACACTGTTTCTCCTATCTGTCTCGTCTACTCTTTGCCGCCATGCTGTAATTTCCCCCTTGCAAAATACACACACACACACACACACCTCCTGGTTGTCTGTTTCTGTGGAATGCCTGCATTCCTCAACTCCTCCGGGCATGATGTTTTTTAAGGGGAAGGTTAGGGATGCCAGAAAAGCTGCTTTGCATATGTTGAGTGGAAAGGGAAAGACTTCTCGGTAACATGTGATATTGTGATGTGTGTCTCCCCCTGTGTGTGCGTTGCTAGTACAGACTCTATTTACCACAAATAAAGAGGAGAGTGAGGCCTGGATTTCCCGCTCATCCTGCGTGTCTGTGCATGAACGTGTGTCTGTGTGTGTGTGTGCTTGTGTGTGTGGTGTTTATCAGTGATCTTTGTATGGTGACTGTGCTGGTATGCTGAAACGGGGCTAATATGAGCAACGTGTTGAAACAGGTTACTGCTGCCTCCCTGCAGACAAAACACACACACACACACACACACACACACACACACACACTCATATTGTTAAGACATCTATGGCCTTTTGTGCAGCTTTTTAAATGTAGACTTTTATATGAACAATCCTATTACTTCTGGTAAATAATGTCTTTCATAGTTTTTGGGTAGCTACGTTTTTACCACATACATTTGAGTCCAGTTTTACAGTAGAATGTAGTATTAGTAAATCTTTCTTTTTGCTATTTCTTTTAGACAAGATGTTTCCCTCTTATGTATGTCAGCAACTGCAATTTAGTTTTTATTTAGACATCAAATGATATTGACATTTTCAGTCAATCCAGTCCAAAATCACAATTGTGTATCTTTGATCAACCTTATTTTACATGAGATGTTATGCTAACATTATCTGATGAGAAACACAGGTTCAATGTTTAAAGATACAGCTTGGCTATTCTGAGTCCTCCTTATTGTTCTCATCATTGTTTCTCACTGCTGGTCCGTTATAAAAAAACAATCTGCCTCGCCAAATGTGCAGAAATATGTCAACTCTAGCCGCAAACGTGATGCATTATATTATAGTAGCACAATTGTCTGGACTGAGAAAAGGACAGAGACCGGCTGAGGGGAAGAGACGCTGAAAATAAAAAAAGACTTAGTATTATTTGATTAATTCTTCTTTTGTCAACAATAATGTATGTTAACATCTTCACAGTTGGTTTTTGGGTGGTGCATTTCATGTTCAGACACATGGGTGTTTGAGAATGAGGTGAAGACTTATTTCCCCTCCACTGCTTCAGCCTCTTTTCCTACCTGCTCTATCTTCACCTCTCTGGTCTTTTACCCTTTTTTTTTGTCCTGCTTCACTTCTTTCCACCAATCACAGAGCTTGGACCAGGTTGCCTTGACCAATGCCACCATTCTGGATGGCAGTGGGGGGGGCGGGCCCAACGGTTCCCTGGCCGGCTCAATGGGCTCTGTGGCTGTCTGTCTTCCTTCTGAGTCTTCTCTTACTGACTCGCTCCACACCTCATCGGTGAGCTAACTAGAGGATATGAACCGACTCTCAGACCAATGATAAACCCTGATCCTGGATCCCTTCCCTTAGCAGATTGCTGTTAGCAGTTTGTTGCTCAGATGATACGTTAGTGACATATTCAAAAGCCACAAACTATCTGCAGTCTGATTATTGGTCTTTTCATAGAGCATGATGCACTGCATGTTCTTTAATGCCAGTAAATACTATCGCCTTTACAATGGATGTGCGCTACAGTGCCCCCTGGTGTTGGTGATGATCACCGTTACAACACCAAAACCTCAGCTAGCCGCTTCGTCTTCTTATTTAAATACAGAGTGGTGCAGACTGTAGTCCGACCCGGGAGTTGGCATCCCATGGGCTCCCTTGTCAAAATGCCAAAGTCAGGCTAACAACCAAAAACACGTTTTAACAAAACGTTCACTTTGAGACGAGGGAACCTTAAGTGGTCAAATGCTAACTAATTCCCCGGGGACTCATTCCTGCACCGCTCTATTCACTTTTCTGTAAGCAAACACTGTGTGCCCCCCTCTCTCCCCTTACGGGTTTGTGTCCCTCCTCTTTTCCCGTAGAGCGAGTGCGCAAACGACGAGGGCGGGGAGGGCGAGTACGTCAACTTGTACTCATCCAACCAGGCCAATGGGGAGCTGCCTCGCTCCCTCAGAGTAAGTAGCTGCCCGCCACGGGGTCGAAGGTCAATTCCATTCAACTGGTGCCATTGCTTCAGGAGTGTGAATCAATTTTGAAATGCGGCGAGGGATTTGAAGTGAGCAGAGCCTGTTTGAGTGGCAGACTTCTGTTGCAGCTCTCATTGATTCATCTCTCCGAGTGATGGCACTGAAATGGAATTTGAATGCAGACAAACCTGACCGAGCATGAATTCAGAAAGGATGTGTGTGTGTGTTTGTATGTGTGTGTCTTCTGATGCCTGGCTGGTGATTGGCTGTCTCTCTCTCTCTTGCTGCACTTCCATTGTAACAAGTATTTAACCTTGTTCCGATCTAACACCTGACATGTCGCCGCTCCAAATCGGATTCTCTAGGGTTCACCGGTTTTCAATTTTCAATAACATTCCCCTATAACTGCTTAAGTGCACTTGTTTTACAGCGTGTGTGTGGTTGTATTCCCATGGCCAGGGCGAACTGTCGGGGGGTGTTTTAGGTGTGCTGGGAATGTAAGTGAGGGCAGAAGAGACGATGTATGGGTGTGTGATTGTATTTTTAGTTTTATTTGGTACAGATTCAGTGTGTATGAGTTCTACCCTCTTGGTGTCTTTCTGTTTTGGGTCTCATCTTTTGGGTCTCGTGCTCGCACTGAGAAAAAGCTGCATTGTGCTCAACATAAAACAACCAAGTAGTAGTACTGACATTTGTCCATTCATCTTCCTTCCACCAAAAGTGGTGCATGCACTGGTGGTTCATAATCCATATCCAGCCCTCTCACTGCATGGGACCATTCATTAATGCTGTTCAGTGTAACCTAGAATACACATGTTGATTATTGCTGTTCCTCCATGATCAGGAATCAATCACAGCTGACGATGTGCTCCAGGATCCCTCCCCTCAGATCCCCTCCACCAATAGCAAAGAGGCTCTGGACAAGGAGAGGTGAGAGATGTAATGTTTACACCTTAGAAATGATGTACACTAAATGCTACTCCCTCTGGACAGTAGGTGCTATATTAATATAGTGCTTTGAAGTTGGTGTAAAATAAATCAAGATACTAGAAATAATGCAATCCGTTTTCTGTCAGATGTCAATCAAACTGCAGCAAAGTCCAACTTAAATCAAAATGTTTTAGTTGAACATTTTGTGAATGTATACCAATGAATATTTATATATGTTTTTTATTATTAGTTTTTCCAAAGGATTTGTTTCATTGTTTGAAGAGATTTATAGAGCAAACATTTATGAACAAATAAATGCATTCAGTTTGACTTTTACCTAACAAGATACCAAATATATATATTTTGTATAGCTTTTGTTCCTGAAGCTGAATCACAGATGCATTCTTTCCAGTCTCCAGCTTCTTTACTCCCTGTGGACTAGCTTTGCATTGTGGGAGAATAGTGAAACAGACAGACCATATTGAGTATACAACATTTTGTCACTTTAACTTAAAAGTTGGTTATAACTACTTTGTAGAGCTACAACTATAAAATCAGACACAGTCCGAATCCCAAAGATATTTAATTTACGATCATATACAATGGAAAACACATACATTCCTTATGCGAAAGAAGCAGATTAAACACTGACTAAAATGAATCAGCGTTTCAGCGTATGCAGTGTGGCTTGGGACACCTCTATATTCCATGATATCTCAAAAAGCAATGAGTTTTTCTATACTGATAACTAGTGTGTGTGTGTGTGTGTTTAAGGAGACAGAAGTCACCAGAATCGGCTGGCAGCGATGAGGAGGACGTGGACGAGCTCTCCCTCATCGACCACAAAGAGATCATGAGCAGGATAACACTAAAACAAGCGGTAAGAATACCCTCCTGCTGAGCTGTTTATAGAATGTGCAGCAGCAGCAGCACACAAAGCACATCTATCCCGTTAGTCCGGCTGGCTAAAGGTCACTGTGAGTCAGTCAGATGTGAAATCAGATCCTGAGCCGCTCCACTGAGAGCCATGCTGCCCTCTGGAGGTCAGCGTCTGGAACTGCACAGCTTAAATGAACAGACCTCTCCCCTTCCTCCTCCTCCTTTGTCCCGCGTGCTGCAGTCTGACAGACAGATGTGTGAAAAGGCTCCTCTCTGCAAGGTTAGGGGCAATGTGACGCCACTGGTTTACAAAAAAGCAGATTGGAAGGGATCAGAAATGAGGAGGAGGAAGAGGAGGAAGATTCATAGCCTTGGAGACAGATTGCAGGGCTCAGGCTTTCATTACACACAAGTCTGACTTTTTCTTCGTCATCAGAGGAGCTGCTGCAGGACAGGAGGAGGTGGTGGGGGGGGGGGGGGGAGCAAGACATAAAAACAGGCAGAAGAAGGAAAGATGCAAGCTACATTTTGAGCTAGACTGCATCACCCTTCCTCACATCTAACCAATGGTCTTCTCTCCTGTTATTCCTTTTCTCTAATTCTTCGTGCTTGCTCTGTTTAATTCCCCCAGAATGACGACGGGCCTGACGTCCGTGCTGGATCGGGAGATATTCTATTGGTGCACGCTACAGAAACAGACCGCAAAGGTACAGCTCAGTGTGTGACTGCACAGCTTTGACAGGCACGCATTTTATATTCAAAGACAGAATGATATGCATTCATAGAGACTGAATCTGTGGAATGATGTCTTATTACTTTTCTAATCTCTTCGTATGCGTAGCATTTTAAATAGCCTTCAGTTGTTTGCAATGTGTCAGTTCTTCACATTTGATGATGTGTTTTCAGAGCTCTTCATCTGAAATGTCTCTCTTTTTTCTTGACAGATCTTGTTTTGTACTGTGAAGCCTTTCTGACTACGTATAGGACTTTTATAACCCCAGAGGAACTCATTAAGAAGCTACACTACAGATATCCTTTTCAAATCCGTCCGCATGTCGCTCCAGGCTTAATGGCTGTTTAGTTGCCGCTAGCAGAACGCTGGTTTTACTGCCTTTGTCTTTCAGCTCTTTAGTTACACATGTTCATAGATGAGACCTCCAGGAACAGGTAGAGGGATAGTATTCAAATATATGAAATACAAATCATTAGTTTAACATCAACTATAATACAATATAATAATGCAAATAAAAAAGGGAATGGCAATAAATGGACATCTCAAATCTAAGTTAAAATGTTAAATACAATTTAATAACAAAAATAAATATTATAACAAATTGAGAATTTAACTGAAAATAGGATAAAATAAATCGATATAGATTCACAGTGAAGGTCACAACATTAAGAGTTAATGTTGGGATGGTATTTTATAAGAGAAAAATATCACATATCATTGTGTTCTCACATAAATGTTCAAAACCTTTGAAACCTTTAAGGTAAATATGTTATTGTACCTTGTATTCCGTATGAACTGTTGTGTATTTCGCCTTGACCACTGAGCACATACACCAGGTTCTGCCACAGCCCCGACACCTTCAAGAAGAGAGTCAGCAAAAACACCTTCTTCGTGCTGGTGAGGGTGGTGGACGAGCTGTGGTGAGTGGACTGAGACAGTACTTCCAGAGTGTGTTGTTCAAGATCTTTCTCCTGTCATATGTACAGTATAACAATGACATTCTTACGCTCAGCTCTCCACAATTAAATATTAAGAAACTACACATGCAAACACACACATAAGATCAAAACGAGCATAAGACATTTAAAAATATAAGCTGACATACATTTAAAAATTCCTGTCTCAGAATAAAAGTGCATGATGTGACTTAACATAGGATATAAATAACAGATTAGAGTATGGTATATAAATATGCATAGGAATAAGAATAGATGGGTATAACAGTATGAATATGATGGGTATGGTACAGTCAGTGTTGGTGCTGATGGTCAGGACTCAGATAGTGTGAGGGGGGGTCTCATGGCCTGTGGGTAAAAGCTGTTGCAGAGTCTGGTGGTCCGGGTCTTCAGACTCCTCTAGCGTCTGCCGGACATCTCCTCAGGGAGCTGTGTTTACTAGAATATGGAGAGGAAACGTAGGCTGTTATTGTACGCATGCATGTACAAATACATGCATGTGTAACAATAGAGACATGGAAAATATAAAAAGGACTGCGTATGACAATATTACGCTTTTACGTGTAAGCAAGGTTTGACTACTAGAGTTTCAACAATTATATATATATATATATTATATAACAACTATTTGCCAAATATTTTGATGTTGAATGTATTATTTATGCAGACCTTGCAGGAAATACGGTTTTCAGTACTTTCTTAGTTTTATAACGTATCTAAGTTGATATCTTTGGGTTTTGTTCTTACAGAACAATTGACATGTTATGGACCAAGAAAGCAGCTTTCAAATGATATTCATTCATCTGCTGTTTATTTTCTCGAATAAATCATCACCACGACCCCGCCCCCCCTCCTCCTCTGTTGACCATGCCCCCCTCTCTCCTCCTCCTGCAGCCTGGTGGAGCTGACGGAAGACATCCTGAAGCAGCTGATGGACCTGGTGTTCACGCTTGTCTGTAACGGAGAGCTCAGCCTCGCGCGGGTCCTCCGGAAGAACATCCTGGATAAAGTGGAGCAGAGGAAGCTGCTGCGCTACACCAACTCCCTCAAACCGCTCGCTGCCCGGGGGGTCTCTGCAAGGTACGGGGTCAAAGGTTCCTCCAACAGTGCAACATAATATATATAGGACATGGAACTAAAAAACTCATTTAATGCTAGACCAATGTGCAAGTTCTGCAGATTAAGTGAAAAATAAATAAATGTTGTAAGTGACCAAGTAAATGCAGGAGTCAATATACATGTACACATAATACGATATACAAGAACAGAATGTGAAATAAAATGTTGTACAGTGAAATAAAATACTTTTTATCTGAGTAATAACTATTAAGATACATAAATGGTAAGATGCAGACAGAGGAAGGCTTTGGGTTATGGAGGCACTGAACAGAGCTCAGGCGTTCAGCAGACAGAACAGTTGGTTGCTGGGGTGATGGGGTCTTTGATCATCCTGTTAAACGTGATGTGTAGAGAGTACATGTATTTGTAAAAGTTGAAGGAAAAGTTATTAACTCATAGTTTTTTGTCCTAACAGGCCAGGGACGCTCCATGACTTCCGCAGTCACGAAATCGCTGACCAGCTCACTCTCCTTGATGCTGAGCTCTTCTATAAGATCGAGGTACTTGAGGTGTTTACTTTGAATTCATACTCCTGTTTACTTTGAATCAATGCTCCCTGTGTTTGTTGACATTGATTGTGTTTTGAGCTCCATCTGTAACTGTTCTTCTCCAGATTCCAGAGGTGCTGCTCTGGGCGAAGGAGCAGAACGAGGAGAAGAGTCCGAACCTGACGCAGTTCACAGAGCACTTTAACAACATGAGCTATTGGTGAGTTGGTCCTTCAATGGAAACGTGTCAGAATCCACCACTGGCCTCTCCTCTGATCATTTGGGTCTATAGCAATGAACTGAAAATCCAGGATTCAGATTGAAATACGCTGATGATATGTCTGTCAGCGTCCTACATGCAGGGTAGAGTCTTTTGGTATTGTGCCATCAAACCAAAACTGTGGACTGCTTTGAGTAAATGATATGAAGTACTAGTAGTGTGTAAAACGTACAAAGCACAGTTTAATGCTTGAATAGGAAGTCAATCGTACAGGCCCTCCTGCTTTTGTCTTGTGATTCTGAATATTCACATATTACTTTGTGGTAGTCCTGTATCATTCTGATTTGCATTTGATTACATTCCAAGCCTTTCCTATGCTATTGTACTTTCTTGATATTGTCTTATTTGTAAGACACATTGTGGTGAAAGCAAAGCGGTTTTAGCTAACAAACACTAATGAATGGCTGGGTTCCCTCTCAGAGCACCTGTTGACCCCCTCTGTTTTCCTCCTCCTGCAGGGTCCGCTCTCTGATCATTCAGCAGGAGAAAGCCCAGGACAGAGAGAAGCTGCTTCTCAAGTTCATTAAGATCATGAAGGTGAGTCATGTTGGGCTTTAATATCTCTACTTGTCATGTAGACACCTGTGATGTTTGGTGCTATAATGTTTCCACAAATCTCTTTTTACAGCACTTACGGAAGTTGAATAATTTCAACTCTTACCTGGCAATCCTGTCCGCCCTGGACTCGGCGCCCATCCGGAGGCTGGAGTGGCAGAAGCAGACCTCCGAGGTGAGAGCACCGTGACGCTTTAATGAGGGGGGGGTCCCATTCACTTGATCCATTATTCATTTGAACTTGTTAGCAATTCAAATGTGTTATTCATTAGTTTGAGCTAACTTGTTCAACAATTCCTGCTGCTAATTAATGTCACTTATATCTTTTTACTTTTAGTTAATTATTTCAACAGTTTTTCTATTTATATTAGCTTAGTATTTCAACTGTTAATCTGCTACATTTAGCTAACTACTGTTTTTGCTTACTATTTGAACCAATTATTCGTTGCCCTTTTCTAACTTTTTCAATCCATAGATATCAGTGATCTCAGAATGTGTGCATATACAGGTGCATCTCAATACATTAGAATATCGTGGAAAAGTTCATTTATTTCATTAATTCAATTCAAAAAGTGAAACTCATATATGATATGGATTCATTACACAAAGTGAAATATTTCAAGCCTTTATTGGTTTTAATCTTGGTGATTACAGCTAGCAGCTAATGAAAACCTCAAAATCAGTATCTCAGAAAATGAGAATATTACATAAGACCAATAAAAAAAAAAAAGGATTTTTAATACAGAAATGTCCGCCTTCTGAAAAGTATGTTCATGTGTTTGCACTCAGTGCTTGGTTGGGCCTCCTTTTGCATGAATGACTGCATCAATGCGGCGTGGCATGGAGGCGATCAGCCTGTGGCTCTGCTGAGGGGTGATGGAAGCCCAGGGTGCTTTGATAGCGGCCTTCAGCTCGTCTGCATTGTTGGCTCTCGTGTCTCTCATCTTCCTCTTGACAATACCCCTTAGATTCTCTATAGGGTTCAGGTCAGGTGAGTTTGCTGGCCAATCAAGCGCAGTAATTCCATGGTCACTAAACCAGGTCTTAGTACTGTTGGCAGTGTGGGCATGGTGCCAAGTCCGGCTGGAAAATGAAATCAGCATCTCCATAAAGCTTGTCAGAAGAAGGAAGCATGAAGTGCTCTAAGATGTCCTGGTAGACGTCTGCGTTGACTTTGGACTTGAGAAAACCTAGTGGACCAACAGCAGCAGATGACATGGCTCCCCAAACCATCGCCGACTGTGGAGACTTCACACTGGACTTCAAGCGACTTGGATTCTGTGCCTCTCCACTCTTCCCCCAGACTCTGGGACCTTGATTTCCAAATGAAATGCAAAATGTACTTCCATCTGAAAAGAGGGCTTTGGACCACTGAGCAACAGACCATCTCTTTTACTCCTTAGCCCAGGTAAGACGCTGCTGACGTTGTCTCTGGTTCAGGAGTGGCTGGACACGAGGAAGGCTCAGTTGTAGCCCATGTCCTGGATACGGCTGTGCATGGTGGCTCCTGATGCACTGACTCCAGCCTCAGTCCACTCCTTGTGAAGCTCCCCCAAATGTTTGAGTGGCCTTTGCTTGACAATCCTCTCAAGGCTGCGGTTATCCCTGTTGCTTTGCACTTTTTCCTACCACACTTTTTCCTTCCACTCAACTTTCTGTGAATATGCTTGGATACAGCACTCTGTGAACAGCCAGCTTCTTTAGCAATGGCCTTTTGAGGCTTACCCTCTGTAGCGGCCCAAATCATATAGAAATAAAACAGATAATTAACTTAAAATAATACAGCCGCTGAGGCACTAGTTAGCAGATCTTACGCAGGGCAATGATCCAGGTCCAGACAAGATTCTCCATGTGTGCAGTTTATTCCGATAACAACGAACAGGTTTCCTATATCCCTTTTCCTTAAGCCTTTCCTATGGCTTTCCTTTTGCTGGCTTGAAACACCCTGGTAAAAAACCGTTTGCCTACTTGTGCTCTGGCTCCCACCACCCACCTGTCTCCAATATATACAATTACACCAGGTGCTCTAATCACCCAGTGCCCAAAACATGCCTTCAAAATAAAAGCATAGAAAATACTTTAACTTATGAGACTAACTAAGAATACATTTACAATAAACACTATAAAACAGCAAGAAAATAAATGTTAAACTATTAAATAATATAAAGATATATAGCTCCAACACCCTCCTTGTGGACAACTGTCAAGTCAGCAGTCTTCCCCATGATTGTGCAGCCAACTGAACCAGATTGAGAGACCATGTAAAGGCTCAGGAAACCTTTGCAGGTTCATTAGCTGATTAGTGACTCCGTGAGTCCACAACAACTTTTTCACAATATTCTAATTTTCCTTAGCTGTAAGCCGTAATCATCAAGATTAAAACAAATAAAGCCTTGAAATATTTCACTTTGTGTGTAATGATCCATATCATATGAGTGAATTGATTGAGATGCACCTGTATATTCACAAGTTACAGCAAAGGATCGTAATAATCTTGGTCCCTCTCCTCTCAGGGATTGGAGGAGTACTGCACGTTGATTGACAGCTCGTCGTCCTTCAGAGCGTACCGAGCTGCTCTCTCTGAGGTGGAGCCCCCCTGCATCCCCTACCTGTGAGTGAACCAACCATAAACTCAGACAAATGTTTTTAGCCGAGAAGCACACGTTTACCCCCCTCTTCGCTCTCCCAGGGGTCTCATCCTGCAGGACCTGACCTTCGTCCACCTGGGGAACCCCGACTTCATCGAGGGGAAGGTGAACTTCTCCAAACGCTGGCAGCAGTTCAACATCCTGGACAGCATGCGGCGCTTCCAGCAAGTGTAAGTCCATGGGGATACATTCACAGCACCATGAACATGCACATCATCTTGTGATGGATCATTTGAAAGCTTTCCAAACATCAATCAGTAATAACTGCCATCATTTGTTTGGAAACACAATTTGATTTGCATTACATTTGAATCTAAAGCATCGCTGCCATCTCCACACGAGCGGTTTGTTTTCTCATTAATCAAACCTCCTCTCATCTCAGGCATTATGATCTGAAGCGCAACGAAGACATCGTGTGCTTCTTCAACGACTTCAGCGACCACCTGGCGGAGGAGGCGCTGTGGGAGCTGTCGCAGAAGATCAAACCCAGGAACATCACCAGGCGCAAGACGGAGCGTGAGGAGAAGACCTAGGGCCCCCGGGGGCCGGCTAAACTGACCTCCAACTGTGCTTCATAACACTAACTCCACTTTACTACAGACTGAGAGACAGAGACGAATGGAAGCTAATGGGAGACTCACTGCAGGGGGATGCAGAACAAACTACAGCGGAGGTTTACAGAGAGCTGCTGCTCGGGAGATTATAAATTGGGATTACTGTGACTGTAGAGAGGAAGCCGAGGAGGGGTCACACAGAGCGGACAGGGAGACGGAAATAACCAAAGTCTGCTCCCTGGGCTCTCTGTCTTCGTGAGAATGAGCTGTCCATTTCTCTCCCGAGATTCTCCTTCCTCTTCCTTTTATGTATGTGCCATTTGTCGGTCATCCTCTGCATTGACTTATGAGTTTCCCCTCAAAACAGCGGACCCTCGAGAGCAGAGAACTGGGACAGTCCGCTGGGGGATCTAAACTCAGAGAGGATGGCCATCACAGACTGGAACCTGAGTTTTTGGAAACATTTTGTGTAAGAATCATGTATTATATACAGTGCTCCTTTTGTTCTTAAAAAGGATGTTTATGAGAAGAGCTTAGCTTCTCCCAAAGTGCCATACGTATGTGCACTCAAAAAAAGCTAAGCAAAAACCACAAAAAAGTACAAATTACTAAAGATGCTGTGATCTATGTAATGTCATACTGAATGCCGTGCTCACGTGTAGAGAACCATCCGGCAGTCACGATCATGTCCCGGTCACCTTGGTGTGTGAAAGTGTTCGTGTGCGACTGAAGTCCTCGTGACTTGTTTGTTTGTCATTCAAAAATGTGCTGTAGTAAATCATTTGGATTCCTTTGTTGGGATAATGGTCGAAAACCCAACACATCACACTGTGCACTCAAACTCCAATAAAACAAACAGCTTTGTTTCTATACACAGCGTGCGGGTCAGAAACATCACTTCCTGGTTTCAAACTCAAAAAGGACTTACACTTTTCCATTTATTGTTGTACAGAGTGGTCAGTGCAAAATGAACTTAAAAAAAGTAAGGCTTGTATTCAACTGTAAGTAATGAAAGGAAGCACTCAGTTTAACGCTACTATGATTTGATTTAAATAAGTTAAAACAAATAGGGAAACAGCAGGATAACAGGTTAGTGTGACTATCATTTAGATATACTCTGAATTTAAGCAACAAAAAAGCAGATGTAAACGTCAAAGTGCAAAAGCATTACAGAAATTAAACATTTAAAAACTCTTTTTACCTGAGCTGCAACTTTTAGAGGACTAATCCAATGACAGAAAAATAATCAGCAACTTTTTGATATTTGTTACAATAATATGCCCTACTTTTGTCTGTATCAAAGTGTATATATATAATATAATATCTTTGGGTTTTAAACTGACAAAAGAAGACATTTAAAGATATAACCTTGGATTTTCAAATGGAAATGTTATAGATTAAATATATAAAATAATCTGCAGATAAATCAATATTTAAAATGTGTTTGAGTTGCAGCTCCTCCCCTCCCTCTCCGTGACTGATCCTCTGACCACAGCCAACACTGAGAAACATTATCATGGAAGACCGTTACATGTGAAAAGCATCATCTAGAAGCATGTTGGTTATGCAGCAATAATTACAGTGAAATGATGGAGTGGTCGCAGCACTGTATGCTTGCACCGTGGGATTGTGGGTACATTTTTTTACTTTTTAAAACCTCTGCAGAGAGGGAGGGTGGCGTGACCCTTCGTGCACAAATCAGTAGCAGCAATCCTGTCTCGAGCTCATGTCCACAGTCTGGAAACATCCGTCCTCCAGAGCCCCAGTGAAGGCTCAGTGCGGCCGGCAGCTGGGCTCCAGCAGGACCCTCTTCCCTGCAGAGTTGGGGGCTCCGTTCTGCAGGTCCCCCGGCTCAGAGATGGCTCTTTTGAAGCCCCGCGTGTGGCCGCTGGCGGAGGCTCGCTGCCATTTGCAGAGCTCACCACTCAGGATGTCTTGGATGTGCTGCACGATAAGGTTGATGGCCACTGATGGGAGAGGAACGGATTTGTCAAGCATTCATTCCAGAGAAACTAGCAGAACATTATTTTAATTAGGGGAAAAAAACACTTACCCATATTGTCAACGCCCCTTGGAATGATGACATCTGCATACTTCTTCGTCTGAGAGAAAAACAAATGTGTTAATGTTTGTTGAGAAAACACCAAATGTGCACACATTCAGTGACGAGCATCATAAAATGGAGGAGGGTTATTGTAGGTTAAAAAAAGTAATTGAAGAGCCAGGGAAGGGGGATAACATTACGGAAAAAAAGATTAGATATTCTGAGATTAAAGCGATAAATGTGCCAGAAACTAATCAGAAATGTACAACAAAAAAATTGGTGTGATATATTTTTGCCAACTTTTTAAAGTGAGTAATGTGGTTTCTTCCCCTCACCCAGCCCTGTATTATTGTTATGCCCCTAAAATAGCCCTTATTTGTTGTTAAGCAGTAAACATACTTACAGGCAAACAAAACTCTTCAAAGGCAGGCTTGACAAATGTTGTGTACTGCGTGAGAATCTGTTCCAGATCCCTCCCTCTGGTCATGTCTCGCAAAACTGTAGGAAAATCAGGTAATTTTTTCATCATGGATATACTGTGGTGGCCCACATCTGGAATAATGTATGAGGAAGACTTTAATACCTCTGCGAGACAGTCTGACGTCTGAATCTGTGTCCACAAAAAGCTTCATGTGAAACATATCACGCACTTTCTGTGGGTAGAAGACGAGAATCCCCTCAAAGAGGACCACGTCTGCCGCGTAAACTGTGATCCTCTCTTCCAATCTAAAAGAGCACATCCAATGTTGATGGGAATTAAAATAAATAAATAAAAGATTTCCTATAAGGGCTGAATCAATGTTAATTGCTTCCTTCTTACCTGGAATGAGTTACGAAGTCATACGTTGGCACCTGAACCACTTTTCCCGCTGCGATGTCTGCCAAGGTTTGGTACATTAAGTCCGTATCAAATGCCTCTGCAAGACAAACGGAAACAGCAGAAATGTAAGACTGCATGCAGCCTTTAAACAATAAACACCATTTATTTTACAGGGATCCACAGAAATCTGGCATATAAACCTGACAACAATTCCAGATATGAGTGATATCGAGGCGGTGATTTCATTTATACCGCCATTGGGATTTCTCCCTCGGCAAATGAGTAAGTATTTGATTTATTTAATCATAAGGAGTGTCACTTTAGCTGTGATTATTTCCTCAGCTAGCATTTTCTGTGATTTCTACACTGTGATATTTCATATAGGCTGTGGAAATTGTGATTAAATGTCAGTTACAGTTAAAAGAAGAAAAAAAGCACCATTTAACCATACCTGGATGATCAAAGTTGTACTGGCCCTTCAGCGCCTTCCCCTTCTGCTCGGCCGTCAGCACTCTGTAGAAGCTGTCCTGGCTGATGATGGCCACCTTCCTCTGGCGGTGGTCCACCTTGTTCTGGCCCAGCAGCTCCATGATCTTGGCGCACACTGTTGACTGAGGCAGAACAAGAAATCAGACTTCAGTACAGACTCAGGGTCCGGATACGAGACATGGAAAAGCATATTAAGATAGCGTATTTTACATAGTGTTTACAATTAGTTGAAGAATAATCACAATTTTTTTGGCAGAAAATGCGGTTTCCAGCCTTTCAACTTATTGTCTCTTTGTTGTTGGTGCAGCCCTATTTAGGAATATAAGATTATTTACATCATGTTTCTTTATTACCAATCATGCAACCACTAATGCAGGTTTTAACTGTTGCATAATCGACATAAAGATTAACAAGAACTGGGGACAAAGTGTCTCCTTGTCTGACACCATTCCCTCTCCAAATGGGGAGAAGACCATATTGCCCAGTTTTACTTGCATGATCAGAATAGGCTATACTAAACTGACATTAAGTGTATTTTTATTAATGTCAATCGTAATGCCGCATTAAATAGATGTAACTAGCAAGGACCCATTCACAATGCATGTTTGTCAGTTTTCCGGGAAATCTGACAGTCTCCAGTGACCTTAATGTTCATCAGCTGATTTGGCACTGCGAGGGAATTGACAAATTATTAACAGTGTTAGCTATTTGAAGCTAAAAGGTCACAAACACGAATCAGTAGAGTTATTCAATATTAGCAGGGAAGACATGTTATTATAGTTGCAGTGTGTTGATGATATAGTGAAACGAAACTGAGCGACGGGGGCGTGCCAGTTGCTCTGACAGTTTGACAAATGCTAATGTTGCTAAGCTAAGCTAATAGGAATGCTAATATCCGTAGTCCTCTGGCTGCAAACAGATACTGACCTTGCCGCTAGCTGTTCCTCCACTGACCCCTATTAAGAAGGGACAATTCCGGGGTCTCCCTACTTCCTCTCGGGCTCCGAAAACATCCATCGCAGTCCAGAAGTTCAGGAGACTACAGATATCTAGATAGCCGGGCTGGCTGAGTGTTTGCTATGCTATCTGTAGTAATAACAACGCACTGTTCTCGCGATATCATAGGGATATCTCAATAACAACGCACTGTTCTCGCGATATCATAGGGATATCTCAATAACAAAGCGCAGTTTACGCGAGAACTCAGCATGAAGGTTCAACACTGGACAGTTTGGAGTGTAACTGCATTTAGTATTTACATCAAATAAGATCAAACTACGTACACACATGTTTAGATTAAATATAACATTGTAATAAAGATGAAGTATGAGTATTTATAACCTTGAAAGAGTATTGGAATTTTACACATGAAGTCTTAGTTTAATGTCCGAAACAGTTTATTATGAATAGTTTTAAATGAATAAACTTGCATTTGACTGTTTCATTTGCAATCAGTTAGCTGCGTTTATAATACTCTATATAATTAAAAAAATGCAGGAGCATACATGTGACTCTGATCGGTTGCAATCCTCGTAGAATCATAGAATCCATGACAAAAAATACATTAGTAACACAAAAAAACATTGATTGAAACAGCTTTTTTATTATAGAATAAAATATAAAACATCTCACAATACACATACTAAAGGTATCATTGTTGTTTTTCTGGGTCTGATTTTTCTGTGTTGTCTTCACATTGTGACCTTTCTTTCCCAGATTCATCCACCACGATTTCAAAAGCAGAACTCCCATCCACCCTCCTCACAGTCTCTCCTTTGGCAGCAAGGATTTCCTCGATGTTCCTTAAAGGTAAACAACAAAAACCCACAGCACATGAGCGATTCCAATATGTCAATTTCTGTGGTGCATTTTTTAACTGCTTATGCTCTTGAATTTAGTTTTTAAATACAACTGGATAACTTTGTCTTAACTTAATAATTATTCTAAAACAGATACGCTGCTATGTACAAATTCTAGCTAGGTATATTAAACCAGAAATTCTAATATGTTTGGGTAATTTACAGACAGTTGCCATTCCATAATTTGTCCACCAGAGTGCAGTAACACATTTCTTATTCAACTCAAGTGTCACTTTAGCCAAATGTAAGTGATGCTTGTCAAAGCTTTGTTTTGATCAGTTAATATTATCTATAAATGATGTTATATCATTCTATCAGATTTGTTTTACCCTCATATAATAATCAAGGGTTCCTACACATATTGGCCAATGGATTTATATGACTTTAGGTACAATTTGCATGACTAAACAATATGTGAAGTCTTCATCCTATCTCATTTCAGACGAAAAGCACAATAAGATAGCAATATTTTTACATGGACTAGACGTGTTTAAAATGAGTTGAAGAATAATCACAATTTAATGGCAGAAATTGGCAGAAAAGGCGGTTTTCAGCCTTTCCGCCTTCTTTTTCTCTTTTTTAAATAGTGTTGAACTGAATATGGGTTTATATTCAGCCGTCAGAGACATGGACAGTGTCACTAATATTTCTTATGAGACATCCAGCAGCACCGACCTCTTCCCTTCCAGGTCGGAGAACCAGCGCAGGTTGTCAGCGATGATGTGATGGTTCTCACACCCCGGACACGTCACGATCACAACTCCTTTGTGATAGGCCAGCTTCGATATCCTCTTTGTGGACCTGGTAGAGCAAACCTGCAAAAGTTATTAATTTTTGTTAGAATATATGCATATCATCTGTCACTGTGAATATAAATATACTTGTACATACCATACAAAACCAAACACTAATTCTGCAGGTGTAAATGTAAGGTACTGTACTTTAGTATTTCTATTTTACACTACATATACTTCTAACCCACTACAGAAGGTTAGTGCACTTATTACTCCACAACATGTGGAACATCATTTATATATTCCTATTTTTAATTCAAAAATATAAACAAATACATGATTATGCATTATTAATTATAAATATGTATTATTATTTAACAATAAACATGTAAGAATATATACAGTACCATATACATTAGTGTAATGATATTAATAAAGATAATAATGCTGAAATACATTGTCAACATTCAGAGTACTTGTTGATACTTTAAGTATGTATTTTTATTGAGTATTTATACACTGTGGTATTACTCATTTTGATGAAGTAAAGAAAACAACAGTCTACATGTCGGGTATTTGACTCAAACACATAACTTAGCAAATAAGACCAAATACAACCAAACATGTTTGAATAACTTTGACATGTAATCAAATAAACACCCAGCTGACAGGAGATGAGAAGTATAGAGGTCAAAATATGCACTTTGTACTTTATTTAATAATAATATTAACTGTATTGACATTATATAATAATGATATCAATGTTTACTAAAATAATACAGGGTAATAGATATATTTAAAAAAAACTATGCATAATGAGTAGGCCTACTTGTTGGTAGGCCTACTCAAAATATGTTTTGATACTGATATTCTTGTTATTTGACTAAAATGACATTGTATGCTGGACTCTGGTAGGCCTATTACTAAAAACAATCAAAAAGAAAGAAAAATAGACCTTTTACTTTAATCAAATAAAGCAGAATCCCTACTCTTGTTCATGTAGGATATGATGAGATCATCTCCATCTTATGTCTGAGTGGCGAAGTCCCTCCCCTTCCGGTGGACTTCCATGGGACCTTATTTCGGAAAAATTATGTATTGAAGTCAATGGAGAGAGAAAGATTATCTTTCGATCCCATTTGAATTGTGCCACGAATTACACATATGATGTTTGTCAATTTAAAAGATAATTTTGCAAGTAAAAAAATAAATGTTGTCGTAAAACTGTGAAATAACACATTTGTTTGTGTGAAACTACATCTCTGGTCTCGCAGAACAACACACGTCACCAAGATGGCCGTCACTACTGTCTCGTCAACAAAACGATTGACTACCCTCACTATCACCACAATGAAACACGTCCAGAAGAATGTCATGCAAAGCTGCCTGCCTGCCTTCCTTTGATTCTCTCTGAACTGCCTGGTCTTTTTAATGTTTAATGTCAACCATTTGTGCAGATAGCATGAAGTAGAAAAGATCGGCGATCGCCGATGCTAGCGTTAGCATTTCTCCCCCGGGCTTAAATTGTGTATTATAGATGATCACACCGGTGACAGTACTCTTCAAAGGGTTCACGAAATATGACTACTACTCTTACTGTTTAACATGTTGGGTTACTTAATGTTACTTCATATTAAGGCTAATACAAATGACACGGATGTAATGCTAACTAACGTGCTAGCTACTAGCTAGGTAGCTAACTTGATCCAGCCACTCCTGGTCCTTTCATCAGACGGGAAGCGAAAGAACGAGCAAGACCCATTGCTGGTATGATAACAACCTGGTACTAAGCACACACGCATCTTGTTAAAGTTATCTTAGCCATATATATATCATATGGCGCTGATCTTAGCTATCTCTTAGTGGTGACATCACTTACGCGACTCTGGGATTTGTAGTATTTCTTGTTGCGTATTTTTCATAGTCTTATATTTCAACAGTTTTACGACAAACTGTGACTTTTTTGACATGGAAATCATTTTTTAAGATTGACAAACATTATATGTGTAATTCATGGCACAATTCAAACGGGATCGACTGATAAGTTCTCTCTCCATTGACTTCAATACATTATTTTTCCGAAATAAGGTCGCATGGACCGGAAGTAGATGGGCGTGACTTCGCCACTCTATACAGATAGCCTGGTTAAATACATTTCAATGTGCTTGATTGATTGATTGATTGATTGATTGAAAAGTTTATTAACAGCTTGTATATTGGGTACAGTACAGTACAGCTCAAAACATACAATTGTTAAGGGGATGCAGACCGGAGAAAGACTTTCGTCTTGTTTACATCAGGGTCCCCCATTTCCAATTCATCATGTCATTTAAGAAATATAAGACATATTTGACATACAGATGGCTTATTTACAATGTACATACAGGTGGTTTTTTACATACAGATTGCTTATTTACAATTTTCATTTTAGATTTCGTTCTAATACATCCTAACCGGACATTTAAGACATACCAAGTCTACAGATATACAGTTAGTAACAGAGTCTAAAATGCGAGTATATACATAGATGGGGGGGGGGGGGGGAAGCTGTCCATTGAACGACAGGTTGAGATTTGTACCATTACCGGGGCCAGTTTTGCAATGCTCTCCCCCGAAGGTGCTCTTTAAGAGAGGTTTTGAAGGTAAGTATAGTTTTACTTTCCTTTACAGTTGTGGGAAGAGCGTTCCACCTTGATGTGGCATAATTGCGAAACGTGTATTCCCCCTTTTTTGTGCCAAATCTGGGTTTCACATGATTTGTGGAGCTCCCTCTGGTGTTATGATCATGGTATTCCTTGACCTTTGGGAAGAATTTTGACATGTACATGGGTACCATAGAGGTGTAGTGGATCTTGTAGACCAGGCCCATTGCAAGTAGCTGTACTCTGTCGTCTACTCTAAGCCATCCTAGGTTGTCAAAGTGGGCAGAGGTGAGGTGGGTTCTAGATGAAAGGTCAAGCAGTAGTCTGACTAGTTTATTTTGCGATGTTTGAAGTTTTATTTTTAGCGCCTTGGAGGTGCTATGGTACCATGACGTGCAAGCATAGTCATAGTACCCTTGAATGAGTGCTCCTGCCAGAGTTTTCAGGGTGTTTTTGTTTACCAGAGAGGAGATCCGGTATAGGAATCTAGTTCTTTGATTGACTTTTTTTATTACATTGGATGCCATTTTGTCACAGGAGAGGTTTGCCTCAAGAATAGATCCTAGGTATGTAAGGTGCAGGTGAGTGCGGGTCCTACCTTGCATGTGTAAACGAGCTGGTAATGTTTTGATTCGATCTTTCCAATTGCGTCACTTCTGACCCTCAGTGAAGAGGAGAATTCTCTGGATCTGATGTCTGCAGGTAACTCCGGCTGACAGAAGAGGAGATGCCCGGACTTCAGGGCTCTTTTTCGGCTGCAGCTGAGAACCACACCGGGCCCAGACGGTGCTGAAAGACTCCGAGAAAAACCTCGAATGAACCGGCAGACAGGCAGCATCATCCTGGAAGAAGCCGGTGAACGTAACATATCCAAACATGTTAGTAAAAGCGACATTTCAGGTAGTGTTTACAATGGCTTTGCATGCGATTTCAACGTATAGTTTGTCGCGGCCCGATGACATCACGCATTTTGGTATTTTCAAATTAATGGTATTTTATTTTTTTATCTAACAAAGTTTGATCCATCTGTTTTTGTTTGAAAACATAGTATTACGTTTTGCAAAGAGTTTTAGAAATATATAAAGTGGTAAACAAGACATGCAATTATAATCTGTCATTTTAAATGCGATAATGTAATTACTTGTGTGGACTTTGTAATCTATTATAACGATATGTTTCAACCAATGGTTTGCACATTTATTCTGTGATTCATTCGACCCCATCTTATAAATAGTTTAGAATTCAAATGTAATGTTATTTCGAGTCTCTTAAATTTGTTATAAGAAATACCTTTTCTCAGAGTCACCAATGATCACGTTTATTGGCATTACAAAATATATATATATTTTAAGAAGATTAAATTACAGACCTTTATGGGAATATACATTCATAACAAAATAACTCTCACAATTGTCCCAACTGCCTACAGACAATGTAGCTCAGGGGTGTCCACACTTTTTCCCCTGAGGGCCACATACAGAAAAATATACGAAGGGATGGATCACTCACTAGAGGTATACAGCCTCATAAGTTCAGTTATAAGTTATCAAAATCAATGAAATGTAGGTTAATGATGCTTGTAAGTGTTGGCAGCTCATCCCTTAAAAAATAAGCCTCAGTTTGATTGTAATAATGAGAAATAGGAAGGGTGTATTGAGAGCTTGTATAATGTAAAAAGTTATTGGGCTTTTTTCTTATCAACTAAGATATGTTAAAAAAAAAAATCCAACTTCAATTGACTGAATTTATTTGAAAAGGTCTTATTAACACATGAATACTGTGTAAAATATATTTATATTTAAGAAGTACAATATAAGACAAGCACAAGTTTCATTTTTGGGCCATATTCCATTATACTTTTTGAATTTGCTGAGGGCCGATTCAAAATGGTCCGCGGGCCGCATTTGGCCCCCGGGCTGTAGTTTGGACACCCCTGGTGTAGCTGCAGCGGTGCACAGTTTCTAATCAGCAGAAACACCAGCTGTAGATGGCTGCTGCAGACTGAAGGATGTGTTTTTTAATCTTGCTCAGTAAGGGGGCCTGAGCTTGTTTAGGGCGAACTGCAGTCCGTCTGAAACTGTGAGGCCTCTCAGTGCTGACACACTGACACTGTGGTGAGTGAGTCCACGTGGAGTTTCTGTCCCACAGATAGAACCATATACTGTACATGGTCAGACTATTGTTTAACAGGAACAGTCCTATCTGAACGTTTGATTGAAGTTTTTTCGAAAGTTGTTTACATGAAGTTTGCCACAACAGTTTTGCTCTCGAGCATAATCACTTTGTTGAATGACTTGTGTGTGCATATATTTGTCTAAGTGTATATTATATACTATGTGTTATTACAATCAAATGTTCTAAGACTAATAATTTGCCAGCAACACATTCATTCTTCAGACATATTGAGAAGGGGGAGTGTGTGCTATGTATTTGAGTACTATGTACATTGTGCAGAGGTGGAAAGTAACTACTGAAATATTGTACTTAAAGGTGGGGTATGTAATTTATTTCAGAAACACTTTTTGTTATATTCCATGGAATGCTCTTAACATCCCGATAGCAATGAATATGAAATGCTTTGACAATAAATACATAACACATTTTTATGTGTAAAAAGCACGACCAATAATTTTGAGAGAGAGAGAAAAGTTAAGAAATAATTCCAATGTCCAGTAAAAAAATAAAACAACTGTTTAAAAGGGGAGTGATTAGTAAAATATGCATAACGAAAGAATGCAGACTAGGAAAGATAGGAGAGAGGAGTATATCAATGATGTGTTATTGGTTGTGAGAATATTCTAATGGTTTTTGGAGTATTGAAAATATATACAGTTCTGTGAGTGTTGGGAGCTGTATCCATAAATCTCTTAATTTGTGCACCAGATTGATGCATTTAACTTCAATTTAAAGAAACAAATCTTCCTAGGGGTGCATGCTCCCGGACCCCCCTAGAGGATGTGAGGTCATCACAAATAAAACAGGCTCACATGGATAGGATACTAGATAAGTTTCCGCTCTCATTATATACACTAAACATTTTTTCTTGGATTTGTTAACAGCATAGTCCCTATATATTTGTAGGAAGGCAGGAAATGGAATTAAATCGAGAACAATGTTTCATTGCGGAGGACCCCCTGTTTTGTGTCCCCCCCCCCCACTTCTCAAACCAAAGTTACACCCTTGTATTTGAGTAACTAAAACCATTGGAATTAAGATTTGTAATCCATTTTTTACTTTAAAATATTTAAAATACATAAATATTTGTTTGAGTTTTTTCTGATATGAGTACTTTTACTCCCAATACTTTGAGTACATTTCCCTACTTTCTCCACCACTGACATTATGTGTGCACTCTGTTTCTATATCCTTATCGTTTTAATCCATGATACTGTGGTGCTTTTATTTTGAAGGGGTCTCAGTGTTAGCACTTCCTCCCCTCAGTCTCATGCAGCGGCAGTTGCTCTCCGGTAGAACAGACGGACCCCTCGGTGTTTTCTCCTCCGTCACTGCCGTACGGGGCTCCGGCCCGGTGTCCGACCAGCCCCTCGCTGCTGAGAAGCGTGTGAGAAATGTGTCACCCGTGTGTTGCGGAGCTGAGAGACTCCATCTTTAATACAACAGGTGGGTCTTTTTTATGTGTGCGTTAAACCAGACAGAATAGCTATAGAGCGGTTCAAAGCGGTTTCTGTGCCGCAGCGTAGGAGCTGGACATCGGCGTGAAATAGATTCTCCTCCCGGTGAAGACACTAAATGAAAGCTTAATATAGTGGTATAACAACATGTTATTTTATTAGACAGATGTACAGCCACACTTAATCACACATAATGCAATATTAGAGATCATATTACATTTGGTCTAGCCGGGTTATTCCTGTATTATGACACAAACAACATTCAATCCTCAACAGCAACAGCTTTTGAATACGGAAAATGATCAGGGCCAGATGATACACACATGTTGAGATGTGACCAAAAGTAAAAATGGAGTTCTGACTTTAATCTCAGAATTCTGACTTTCTCAGTGTTTTAATATTCCCATTGTGAATAACAGCGTTGTTTGTGTTGTATTGTTGAGTTTTTAGGGAATTAATTTCAAAATGTCTCCATTATGACACAGATATTGCAGGTTTAAATCTATATTATCTCAGTGATGCAACGATACAGTGACATTAAAAGCTTATGTGTGGTGTGATATTTGTATAATGTTTATGTGCTTGGACAAATCCAATATTTGCATATGTACTAAGTAACTTGTCACAGAAATGTGGTTTTGAATGGCCCTTAATTTTTTTAAACAAGTATTCTAAGTGTGTGTTTGTGTGTGTCATGTGATGAAAAGGAAAGTGTTGTTTGAGGCAGAACCAGTCAGACCTGGTCAAAACTGAAGCAGTGTCCCTCCTGCAAATACCTGTCAGGGATGGGCAGATGGGTTATTATTACATCTCCATTTAATCTCCAGCAACATGAAATAAATTGTGTTTTGGTATTTACATTATGCCGTTGAGTGGTTGGCAACACTTTGATCCTGAATATCTTTGTATTTATACCTACGTTTAACATCAAACTGTCAAAAAGGCCCCTTGTTTGTATAGGGCTGGTGAATACATATGCAAAACCTCTCAAATACATTAATTGTGAAAAGATTGTGTATGTAGAAGAGACCACCATCTTATTGATAGATGTTTAGTTATGTCCCATTTTCTAAATAATTTGAATAATTGCCCCCTTCATAGTTATTGTACAGTTACAGGCAAGGCAAGTTTATTTATATAGCACATTTTAACTTTTGTAAAGCACTTTACACAAGGTAAAGTGCTTTACAAAAATGAAAGACATTAATAGCATTTAAGAAACCAATTTAGAACTGTTTCCGAAAGTCCCACCCAGTTTTCCAGTCGGTCTAGTAATATGCTGTGGTCAACAGTGTCAAACGCAGCACTGAGATCTAATAATACTAACACTGAAGTTCTGCCACTGTCTGTGTTTAAGTGGATGTCATTGAAGACCTTTACAAGAGCAGTCTCAGTGCTGTGGTTTGGACGAAAGCCTGACTGGAACACATCAAAACAGTTATTTAAATGCAAGAAATTACTCAACTGTTGAAAAACAACTTTTTCAATGATTTTACCTAGAAATGGGAGGTTTGATATGGGCCTGTAATTGTTCATTACTGAAGCATCTAGATTATTCTTTTTTTAAGAGCGGTTTAATGACTGCAGTTTTCAGGGCCTGTGGAAAAATACCTGAGTGAAGAGATTTGTTTACTATATGAAGTAGATCTGAGGCCATGCAAGGCAAAACATCTTTGAAAAATCCTGTTGGAATAATATCAAGGCAGCAGGAGGAGGATTTCAGAAGTTGAATAATGTCCTCTAGGTTTTTATCATTAATCTGATGGAATTGTGTCATGATGTCTGAATTGATGTTAAGTGGAGATAGGGACAACACATCTGCTGTTCCTGATGCAGAGGCACTGACTGCTTGTCTGATTTTCTGAATTTTGTCAGTGAAAAAGGAGGCAAAATCATTGCACGCCCTGGTGGATAGAAATTCAGAGGCTACTGACACTGGGGGGTTAGTTAGTCTGTCGACGGTAGCAAACAAGGCACGTGCGTTGTTTTTGTTTTTGGTAATGATGTCAGAGAAGAAAGACTGTCATGCGTTTTTCAATTCCAAATTATAAAGGCCAAGTCTCTCTTTATAGATTTCAAAGTGAACCTGGAGATTTGTTTTTCGCCACCTGCGTTCAGCTTTTCGACACTCTTTTTTCTCTGTTTTCACGGTCATGGCCTTTCTCCATGGAGATATTTTCTTGCCAGACACTTCCTTTACCTTAGTTGGAGCAATGGCATCTATAACGTTTTTAATTTTTGAATTAAAATGATCTGCTAGCTCATTTACTGGGATGTTAGCAGGGGCAAGTGTGGAAGAGAAATTCTGAGTAAACATTTCCCTAGTATTTTCAGTTAAATATCGCTTTGTGGTTACCTCTTTTTGAACATTTTTGTGAACAGAAATAGAGCTCTCAAAGAAAACACAGGAATGGTCAGAGAGTGCAACATCAGTCACCACAACCTTAGAGATATTCAGACCCTTTGAGATAATTAAGTCCAGAGTGTGATACTTATTGTGCGTGGGCTCCATCACATGCTGAGTCAGGCCATAGCTATCAAGAACACAAAACAGTTCTTTAGCCCCTCTGTCCTGGGGGTTGTCAACATGGATGTTAAAATCACCAACAATGACTAGACGGTCAAAGTCAATACACACTATAGACAGCAGTTCAGTAAAGTCATCAAAAAACTTGCACAGTATTTGGGTGGTCTATAGATATTTAGGAACAGAGCTCGAGAGGAGCATGTCAGCTGAAGGGCCACATATTCAAAAGAAGCAAAGTTCCCATAAGATGTCTTCCTGCATTGAATGGAATCATTGAACAGAATAGCAACTCCACCCCCTTTCTTATGCATTCTTTCCTGACTCATAAAACTAAAGTTGGAAGATGTTGATTCGATAAGAACAGCTGCACTGTTATTTTGTTCAATCCAAGTTTCTGTTAAAAACATAAAATCAAGATTGTGCTCAGTGATAAAATCATTGATTAAAAATGTTTTTCCTGCCAGAGACCTGACATGTAATAAAGCTAGTTCAAGTTTGTTAGATACACTATCAGTCAGATTTGTTGTGGCAAGCTGTGGCTGACATGGAATCAAATTTGATAAACTCACACAAACGTTTGAGCGCTTCCTGTGTCTAAGCTGATTCACCGCTCTTAATCTATTACCTATCAACACAGATATCAGCAAAGCTACTTGCAGGCAGGGCCCCGGCATGTCCTGGAAAGAGTTGAGTGCCATACGCCCTTGAGCCTGGACCCAGCATATATCAGTTAGTTTGCTGCGTTTTGTACACACACATTCTTATCAGGCTTCGGTGACCACAGATGGTGTCTTGAAGGGGGGAGAGGTGGTTGACATAGGCACGGTGATGAAGACGGGGGAGATGGGGCGGGCGGGTGTGGGCGTCGTGGAGGGGCGGGGGTAAAGGAAATGCTGCCAACCCTGCGTATCGCCTTAATGCGGTCATTGAACTCCTGGAAGGAATTGGTGCCATCCTGTATCTGCTTCATGTGTTCAGCGATCTCCAGGAGGGTGGGCGAGGGTGAGTAGAGAGAGCTGTGGGGTGAAGGAAGAGTATCCTCCTAGTGTTAATGTCATTATAAAATGCAGTTGTCAGAGTCCAACAGGCTATTTGTTACCTTTTTTTAAATGATTTTGATTGATTTAATGTGGCATGGTGTAATTGCTAGTATAGATATCCTGAGTTAATGTCTAATTGTATCGAGCTAACGGCCAAAATCCAAAGAAACAGCTAATTCTGCAATTGATGAAGCTTCAATTAGGGAAAGTTTTGCAATTTTGCTCCAAAAATGATTTAAATGCTTCAATGGACATTCATTATAAGGCGATCTTAGACTCGCATGATCCATTTTTCACTTCCATCCCATCCAGTATGTGTTGGGCCAAAGGCCCGGGCTTCATGCTGTGGACACAACACTGGGATCTGGACGATTTTAACAACTAAGAACTGGTGAAACAATATCCAAATGTCCATCCACGTGTATCATAGTGTGCACCATCAGGACGGAGGCAGTCAGTAAATGTGTGAGGCTGTCGGTCGCCTCTAAGACTTTGGTCCAGCCTTTATATGGAAATGGTTGAGACTTATGCTTAAAACAAAAGGCAAATATCCATCTAATGGAATGTAATAAAAGTTCAAGCCAACAATTAATGAATGCTGGCTCAATCCATATTTCCATGAATCCACCTATGTTCCAAACCACTTATCATCTTAAAAGTTACAACAGGTCTGGAGCCTATCCCATACAAGACCATACAAGACTGAACATTTGGCATTCAAATGTGTCTTGGGATATTGGATAACATACAAGTGTAAACAATGCATGGTAATCCGATCACCGAGGTGGTCTCCGTTGCATTTGACCACATACCCAATTTATGCAAAGCCTGTAAAATTGTTGGGGGATTTGGTTTTCATGGAACACATTTAAAAAAAAAAGACCAATCTATATTGTTTTATATCATTTAATTGGAATTGGAAAAAGGATATTGTACGTAATCAACATTCAAACAAATGTAAATTCCAAGCAAGATCAAGAGCTAGCAGTTCCTTCATTCAAATGTTCTGAAGACAGGGCACAGAAAGTGGGTTGCTGCCAATGTAAAATGATGTGTTTGGTCTTTGCAAATGTATATTATGCACATGTTTATTTGCATATGGAGAACTGAGACAGTCCCGGTTGTGCCGAGTTGGACAACTTTTGGTCATTAACCATTAGCTGCAGTCTTTTTTAACCACGCATGGCATTCATGAAAAGTTTCAGTCTGGCTTCAAACCCATGCACAGCACTGACAGCCCTTTTAAGAGTTTTTAATGATCTGCTCCTAGCCGTCGACTCAGGTAGCCCAGCTGTCCTGGTGCTGTTAGACCTGACTGCTGCCTTCGACACTGTGGACCATAGCATCCTGTTGTTGCGGCTCGAACAGTCCGCTGGCATCACAGGCTCTGCCCTTGCATGGTTCAGGTCCTACCTGACAGAC